TTATTTCTGATTTATATATAAAAGCAAATAATAATGATATGGTTTGAATAGGTAAATTAAAAAATTTCAAGTTCTTAGACCACATTCATTCTGTGTCAGAAACCTATGCTGTGTCAAATATTTAATCACAATCCAAATTCAGTGCTGTATCAAGTTTGAATGTTGTGTCCATACTTGCCCCAACTGTTCAGGGTTCGACCTCTGCGGTCGTATAAAGCGCCCAGCGGAGCATTTTATTGTGCTTTGTATCGATCTGATGAGTTAAGCCCTTTCAACTGATTTTTATAGTTTGTTCATATGTTGTACTGTTACACCACTGTCCTATGTTAGGGGGAGGGTTGGGTGCCCGCTAACATGTTTAACCTCCGCCACATTCTGTATGTGCCTGTCCCAAGTCAGTAGCCTGTAATTCAGTGGTTGTTGTTTGTTGATGTGTATCATATTTGTTTTTCGTTCATTATTTTGTACATAAATTAGGCTGTTAGTTTTCTCGTTTGAATTGTTTTACATTTGTCATTTCAGGGCCTTTTATAGCTGACTATGTTGTATGGGTTTTATTCATTGTTGAAGGCCATACGGTGACCTATAGTTGTTAATTTCTGTGTCATTTGGTCTCTTGTGGAGAGTTGTCTTATTGGCAATCATACCACATTTTCTTATTTTTATATGGAATATTTTAATTTGTCTAAATTAGACATTAATTGATGAAGAGGAGCAAATTTTTCATGGTAGTTACTGAAGCATTATAATGTAAATATCAATAGCTGTGTTACAAAATCACCAAATGAATTTACTTGTGCTGAATCTGCATGATAAATTTGCTGCCAGACATTGAGCAAACAGCAATGACTATTCAATCAACTGTTCTTTAAAATAAGAACATTTTTAAATGAACAAAATTTCTTAGTTGGTTGTGTAGATTTACTTCATCAGTCTAAAAATAAAGCAACTTAGAAAACAATTGTTGAGAATGTGATTTGGCATTTACATTAGAATGCATAAAATGGTCTAGGAAAAGAATGAATAAATCCTAACATTAGATTTTATAAAAATCCCTTTAACAGAATCTATTAAAAAAAGAAAAAAACTTCAAATGGTTCAACTATATCAGAATTCTTGAAATGTCCCAAGATAGTGCATGTACATATAAATTATAGCAGCAACAGGATATAAAAAATGGTGCCAATAAAACGATACATAAAATGCTCCAAAAAATTCAAAATATTGAATACATAGAAAGGTGCCAACATCTGGATATATATAAAGTGGCCCCAACAACAGAATATATAAAATTGTAAACAAAAACCTACTTTAAAACAATACTTCAAATGGTAGACAAATTTTCAAGAAATGGAGCTCTTTTAAGACTTTGCAATTGTATTGTCCAGTTCTCATTATTCTGACAACAGGAAATAAACCAAAGTAAATTTGAACTTGTAAGTTATACTCTTATCTTTATGAAGTAATTATGTCCTAACATGGAATACACCCTTGTAATCTACTTAACTTCTGTAACTAGTCCGCAAATATCATTTAGTTTTCATTTCTAATTTCATTTGTAAATGTCACTGAAGGACAAGGTATTTGAAGTTTCATTAAATATATATGGATTGTGTTGACTGTGATGAACATTTAATGAAGTTTAGAGAAAATTGAAAAATGATATTTATTTATTTTATGGAATACAACATACAAAAATGATTTCCAAATAAGGATGGACCATTTCTGTTATTTTGGAATAATTATCTGATGCATGTGCGTGTGCTTTTGAGTTTGAATTAAAAAACCTGCTTCTGATAGAAGAGGATGAAAACTCAAAATGATTCTTATCATCTAGAAAAATTAGAACAAAAGGTAGGTTTAAGACTTTTGAAATGCACTCATTTGAAAATTTTAATTTTTTTAAAAGTTTGATTATTAAAACAATCTTTAAGATTCAATAATAAACACAGTTTTAGTGATGATAAAGAAACAGATGACAGGAAATAGTTTTTCTGAAGGATTTTTTTCAGGAAGTATTACTACTACTATCAAGTTTTATACATCCTTATGAAAAGCTTGGTAGCTAAATATAGATGTGTTATGGTTGATATTCTACTCAGACCAATATCATCATTCTTTGGATTATCAAAAATAATTCTTTTGAATGAATTCTATTGTTGTAAAGCAGACCTTTTTTTTGCATTTGATGGAAAATGAATAATAAGAAGAAGAAAAAGAGTTTATAAATTACTTCACATTTGCTTCTAATACTGCAGGTTCCCAAGTATGCATTTAGACGTAACATATATTTACTATGTTCCATTTAAGTTACATTGCATGAGGCTATTCTTTTTACACATTTCTGCACTTACATGCATTATACATAACATTGTATTACAAGGTAATTTTGAAATGATACAAGTTTGCTTTATCCCCCACACCTTACTGATCTATAGAGTTCATACAAAGTAAATGTCATCTTGTACTCTTTCATTGTCACATTTTTCAAATATTTCTGGAGTGACCTATGTGTTTGTTTTGGGGTATCCATTCTTTTTATGGCTTATGTTAATATGTAAATGAATGAGTTCTGTAATATCTAAATGAGAGCATGATATATTAATGAAATAATACTATCTTTTGTTTAAGTCAAGATAGACATTTCTCACTAGAATCTATGTAGAAAGGGCATCTGTTTTAATAGGACAAAATTTTATTTCTTTTCTATGCTGTTTTCACAGGCTCTTTGAGGAATATGTTTTACTGCCTAAAATCACTGGCACTAGTCTATGAAAAATAAATGTTACTTATAAAATTGAGAATGGAAACAGGGAATGTGTCTAAGAGACAACAACTCAACCAAAGTGCAGAAAATAGCTCAAAGCCACCAATGGGTCTTCAACACAGCGAGAAAATCCCACACCCGGAGGCAGGTTTCAGCTGGCCCCTAAACAAAAATGTATACTGGTTCAGAGAAAATGGACGTCACACTAAACTCCGAAACATATAAATGAACCAAAATTAAAAAAACATACAAGACTACTGACTTGGGACAGGCACTAAAATTTGGTGGGGTTAAACATGTTTTGTGAGATCTCAACCCTTCCCCTATACCTCTAGCCAATGTAGAATAAACAAACACACAGCAATACGCACAGTAAAACTCAGTTAAAAAGAAGTCTTGAGTCCGATGTTAGAATAGGTAACAGAAGAAACTAAGCAAAATGACAATGATCAACATAATTTAACAAAGGACTACTAGCCAGCTCTAGACCTTAATTAAACTGATTGAAAGATTATGTCTTCATCATTTGAAAATCAAGCACAATCCCATTCGTTAGGGGTTTAGTGTCATACCTTCATAAAATATACGAGAAGGAACAAAACCCATATCAAGCCAACAACTGGTTTTAGAATAAATGTGTTTATTTCCTATGCAAAGACCCTATGAGTTAATCAATATTAATTCCAAAAAATGCCATCTTTACAGCTTTTCTATAAAAGCATGCAAAGCAAACCTTTGATGACTTGCTTGCTATGTTTGCTTGGATGTTTGTAAACAAAAGGGTAGGCGGAGTTTCAGTCTGTTTCATATATACTGGTATCATATTGATTGGACAATAAAAACTGACATACCGTGTGAAACTTAACATTTAAATGAAGTTAATGTTTCTTGTCCAATCAAATTCCAGTATATAGTAAACAGACTGAAATAGGCTACCTACCTGTTGTTTTCAAACATCCAAACAAACATAGCAAGCAAGTTGATCAAAGGTTTGCTTTGCATGCTTTTATAGTAATGGGATAATGACCTGACAACAGTATCATAACTATATCCCTTCTGAATTAGTCTGTTTAAAGGTTTGGTTACATGTACCTTTTGAGGTGAATGCAGACGACATTTTTGTGCTTTTGTAAAGAATATTACCATAAAAGATGGGATATACATGTATATCTTAATATTACACATGTAAATTTTTTCAGAGACAAGTACAAAGATTTGAAATTAAGATATATATATATATCAAAGTTAAATCAAAAAGATGGGTTGCTGCTGGTTGTATTTATTACATATGCTTTGTATAACAAAAATTATTTAAAGAGTAGCAACTTTTTGTCTGAAATTTAAACTTAGAAGGATAAAAGGCAGTTTTACCCAAATAAATATTTAAAAAAAATATAAAATCACTGTTATCATAGCAGCTATCATTTCAATATTCAACCTTGCATTGGATATTTTCTATGCAAAAATATGTTCCAACTTCTACTAGGGTGTGTTTAACGACTTTGACTATGCATGAGGGTCTTGCCATGTCTATCCTTGCTTAAAGCCTTTTAGGGCATGCACTATATTAATTTTTTTCTAAACTAATAGTTTTCTTCAGTTATGATGGTAATAACTCTTGTGTCTGGGGTACTAAATTTAGCCTGGTTGAAGACCTATGAGGGTTGTTTTATCCCACTTTATGATAAAACTTGCCAAAAGATGTTGATTTACATATTTCATTTCAAACTTTTACAGGCAATTGATGCACATGCTCCTTTCTTTGCTTTGACTTCACTCCCTGCCCCCAATGTATATACATCCCTAAGTAATTGTCTTCATGTTGTTGCTGTGTAAATGTTGTATGAATATTCAAGTTTGCATTTGCATCTATAGTCATGTATTTGTTTCTGTCAGCCTTAAGAAACCCGGTGTGATATTCTTATAAAATAATGTAATATATAACTATGTCAATGTGATTACCTTAAACAATGTAATACAATTACAACTGTGTCGGAAGAACAGAGAAACAATAAATCTTCTATGGAATGACATCTGGTATAATGTTCTGATCACTGTAGAAATTTCTCTTTTCTTTGGTTTTAAGACATATTTTATTAAATTTCATAAGGATAAAGCATCAAATAGTTTTTACTGAAATTAAGAAACTTTTTCCTTTGAAACAGCATAAAAATTGAAATATTAGTTAATAGTATTAGAATCACTATATACTCACAAGACATTTATTTTGCAGGTTATAAATGAGATAGCCACACTATACTTTCGGGACAAGAAGAGTAAAATAGATTATATCCTTGCTTATGAAGATGAACAAGATGAAAAAAAGAAGGAAAGGCGGCAACAGTTCCAAGACAACCTCCAGGAGGAAGGACTTATTCTTGAATTTGAAGAAAAAGAGGTGACCTTTTCACATGTACACATTCACACACACACATGATATAAACTTCTTAACTTGAGATGAAATAAAGATATTAGTTAAATATGCCTGAGGTAACCTCATTTAATTGAGTGAAGAAAACATAATATTTTATTAAACTTTGTGACAACTTAAAAGAATTAAAGTGAATGCATGTAAACAGATTAACAATTTGTTTATTTTTTACCTTGTGGTTATTTCTTTGTCAATTTAGGGGTGCAGTGTTGATGTCATATTTTCAATTATTTCTGTTTAATTCATTAAATTTTGTCTAGATTTTTATTCTATTTTAAGAAAAAGATTCATTTGAAAATTTATGTAGATGTTTTTACTCATTAGTAATGAAGTAAAGATTTTAATGGTCTTGGATGATCAAAGTATTCTGGTCCAAGGACACAGTTATCGTCCTTTGGTTTTCGTTGTCTACGAATATAGTCCCTAGTGTGAACAGTGTATAACTTGCATTTTTTTTTGATACACTTTCCCAATTTATTTCTTGATATTTTATGCATGAAATATTAAGTTAGGGGATGAAATTACATGTTAAAAAAATTTGGGTGCTGAATCTTTATGTCAAGTAGTGATTTGGTCCAGTTAAAAAAGGTCAAAAATTAGAATGTCGGAAGCTGTCAAACTGAATTTTAGCCCCCCTTAACACAGAATTGTCAATATTTTGAGTTAGAGCTGGTAGAAGTTTCTAGAATTTTGATATTATTTGTATCAATAGTAGTACACTACACTGTAAAAATCTTTTTGAGATAGAGCAGGTGCGATTTTTTTAATTTGAATTTATTGTCTAAAAGAAATGCACTACGAAATAACTGTGTTCTCGGGCCTTCTATTCGAATCCTTAAATAAATATACGGTGGATAGTTGTCCTGTTGGCAAGTATACCACGTCCTTATTTTTATATAACTAGTGTGTGCAACTTCTTAGTATGTTTTATCAGTACAAAATGTAATAGTTATATTTTATGTACAGAATTCCATAAACAAGAAGACAAGTTTTATAAAGGTCCATTGTCCATGGGAGATTCTGGCTAAGTATGCTGAAATAACCAACATGAAGATGCCTTTGATGGTAATATATCTTATATGATCTTATATGTATTATATATCTTTCCAAATATATTTCCTTAGTTGATAACTGTCCTTCTAAATATTTTCATTCAGCAAAACGAAAAAAGACATAAAAAGACAAACACTGTTTTATCATCAAATTCTTGTTGGAAATTTGAATATTTCATGCCTAAAGTTATAACAGTAACAAAAATTTAGATTTTGACAGGTTGGACATTTTCATGACCCTGTCGTAGGCTCATTTTGAAAGTGTTACTCTTGTCCGTCCATCTGTCCTTTCATCCGTCTTTCTGTCCTTCAGTCCAATTTTCGTTTATGTACACTAAATTAAGTTTGCCTCATGCAAATTTTATGAAACTCATACGAATGCTAAGAACCAAAACTCACAGAGTTCGAATTTTGGCAGTGAGTCACTTACTGTTCTAGAGTTTTCCCCCTTTATAACATGGAAAATTGCAAATTTTTTAGTTTCTGCACTCAGAATTAAAAAAATTTTGAAACTCTTAATGAATGCTAAGAACCAAAACTTACAGACAAGAGTTCAAATTTGGGCAGTGAGTCATTTAAGGTTCTAGAGTTATGCCCCTTTATTACTTGTAAAATTGAACATATTTTTGTTACCACACTGTAACTTAAGTTTTACTCATCCAAATTTTATGAAACTCGTACTTAATGCGAAGAACTAAAACTAGCAGACAGAGTTCGAATTTGGGTTGTTAGTCATTTACCGTTCTAGAGTTATGCCCCTTTTAAACTTGGAAAATTAAAAAACTTGAGTGGGAGCATTAGTGTCCTCAGACACATTCTTCGTTTATTTTAATAAACCAAAGCTAATAAAACAATTTGACTCTGATGTGTTATAAGAGTGTAGTTCCAATAATCAGAAACATTGAAATTTGTTTTTCCTTATGAAATATTAGACTTTAGACAGAATTGTAGGTCTTTTTCATCAGTATAATTAAGGTGTACAAGCATAAATAGTACCAAGTCTACAGTAAATCACTATTCTACATTCTGTAGATCATCTTATTTTGTGGATACCTTTAATCCTGTCAAGACTTTTTCAGAAGGTGTCACAGCAATTTACTTTTGTAATTATGTCTTAAATTGGGTGTTCATATAAAAAGAAGATCATATTTTCTAAACTATTTATATTCATGTTATTTTTCTACTAGTTAAAGTAGTGAAAAATAAATCGCTTGCAAAAATAAGTAGTTTACAGTATTATGATTCTAATAAAAAATTATGTTTTTAAATGATTAAAATTATTGCATAATATAGTAATAGGCTGACACCCTAACAATTATATGTTCAGTTGATAAAATAGATACATTGCATTTTAATATTACATGTCATCCAGAACATTCCCGCTATTGGTGTTTCCATAAAGCACAGTATGGGTTGATAGATTTATCAGCTCTGTACCAATGGTCATATTCTTTAAATTCTCAATATTTTACAGTTACCAGAAATTGTAAGAGCTTTGGTAGTCAGACTAACCAATATATGGTATCCAGTAGTCTAAAAAAACACATACACAATTACACAGTCAGAAATACATCATGACTTATACCAGGCTCTTTCCTGTTCTATTTCATAACACATATATGCACATCCATGTCTGGTACCTTTCTTGTAATGTTTTCATCTTGCATGGCACTCATCTAGCTATGTAACTGTAGCTCATTGGTCCTGTCAGAAAATATCCTAAGGACCATTGGAGTTCTGGTTCCACAGCTCAGAACTCATTCTGAGTCACATCACAATCTCCATTTCATACTTTTGTTAGGTATGCACCATTTACATAGATATTAGGGCTATGTGGTTATGAGTTCAAACCCAGCATGTGGCAAGTGTGTGTTTGACTCAGATTTAGAGCTAATTTCCTAATGCTTGTAGATTAAGACTTTGGTTGACTTGCTTGCTTTGTTTGTATAAACTTGCTCAAGCATTGCAATTAAGATTGACATCTGCAAACAATATAGATTGGGTGGAGTTAAACCTTACAAACATTGCCTTGTAATGTTTACATGTACAATTGGGTGTTCCTAAGCTCCAGGATAATATCCAATCAAATTTAAGTATAATGTATACAGGTTTAACTCTGGCTATTTTATATTGTTTGCAAATGTCAATCTTTATTACAATGCTTGAGCAAGCGTTAATACAAACAAAGGATTGCAAGTCAGTTGTTCTCACAGGGAAAGGACAAGGTTCACTTATGGCACAATATGGCCTAAAATATCAACTTTATCATAAAACGCCAAAAAGGTCACAATTTGGTTCGTAAATGGGTCTATTTGAAAAGCCTTAATGCTAAATAAATCAGTTCTTTTCATAAAAGTACATTATATTCTCCAAAGTAAGCCCATATTGGAAATTTTGTCAAAATATGATGATTTTGTGCAATTTTCAGACCTAAAAGCAGCCTTCACGCTTAACTTTTGAGTCCACAAGCCAGAAGCTCAATTTTTTGAAAATTTTAGTTGGATTCTGTTGGCTTGTAGAGAAGAACTTAACAAGCCCGAAAGCAAATTTACAAGCCAATGCCGTAGGACTTGTGGTTAAACGTGAAGACTGTTAAAAAGCTTTAGGAAATCCTTGGCCGCCACCTACGATCCAAAATGTTTTGTAACCAAAAGATTCCAACTTTTATATAGAATTCATCAATATAAAAACTTTTTGGATCGTGGATGGAGGCCAAGGTTAATTATGCCAAAAACAATTAAAATTATGGAAAAATTTACCAAAATTGACGTTGAAATACAAATAATGTTTATTTAAGGGGTCATAGCTTCATAAATTTTAAAGGAAGGTGCCAAAAAAAATGTATTTTTGTCTTAATAGTATTGTCACAAGTATTTCTATGTGAAATGTGTAGTATTTTGGTGTCATTAAAAAAACATCAAAATCTTAGGGCCAATTCTAGCCCTTCGTGAACACCCTTCTTTCATGCTATATCAACGAATAAAAAAATTGGCCTCTATGATATAGCCAAAGTCACTGAAAGTTAAACACCAACAAACAAATATAGAAATGATGTTGAACACCACCAAACAAACATACAATGATGTTGAACTCCAACAAACAAACATAGAAATGATGTTAAACACCAACAAACAAACATACAATGATGTTGAACTCCAACAAACAAACATACAATGATGTTGAACACCAACAAACAAACATACAATGATGTTGAACACCAACAAACAATCATACAATGATGTTGAACTCCAACAAACAAACATAGAAATGATGTTAAACACCAACAAACAAACATACAATGATGTTGAACTCCAACAAACAAACATACAATGATGTTGAACACCAACAAACAAACATACAATGATGTTGAACACCAACAAACAAACATACAATGATGTTGAACTCCAACAAACAAACATACAATGATGTTGAACACCAACAAACAAACATACAATGATGTTGAACACCAACAAACAAACATACAATGATGTTGAACACCAACAAACAAACATACAATGATGTTGAACACCAACAAACAAACATACAATGATGTTGAACTCCAACAAACAAACATACAATGATGTTGAACACCAACAAACAAACATACAATGATGTTGAACACCAACAAACAAACATACAATGATGTTAAGAATGCTTCATTCTAATTTAAATGAGGTTATATACATCTTATTACAATTTTATCAAAGAATCTTATCTACAACAAAAAGAAAAGATTTGTGCTGTAGCTTTGTGGTACCGTAGGGTTTTACATATGATTTGTGCTGTAGCTTTGTGGTATCGTAGGGTTTTACATATGATTTGTGCTGTAGCTTAGTGGTATCGTAGGGTTTAACATATGATTTGTGCTGTAGCTTTGTGGTACCGTAGGGTTTTACATATGATTTGTGCTGTAGCTTTGTGGTACCGTAGGGTTTTACATATGATTTGTGCTGTAGCTTTGTGGTACCGTAGGGTTTAACATATGATTTGTGCTGTAGCTTTGTGGTATCGTAGGGTTTTACATATGATTTGTGCTGTAGCTTTGTGGTACCGTAGGGTTTTACATATGATTTGTGCTGTAGCTTTGTGGTATCGTAGGGTTTTACATATGATTTGAGCTGTAGCTTTGTGGTATCGTAGGGTTTTACAAATGATTTGTGCTGTAGCTTTGTGGTACCGTAGGGTTTAACATATGATTTGTGCTGTAGCTTTGTGGTACCGTAGGGTTTTACATATGATTTGTGCTGTAGCTTTGTGGTACCGTAGGGTTTTACATATGATTTGTGCTGTAGCTTTGTGGTACCGTAGGGTTTAACATATGATTTGTGCTGTAGCTTTGTGGTATCGTAGGGTTTTACATATGATTTGTGCTGTAGCTTTGTGGTACCGTAGGGTTTTACATATGATTTGTGCTGTAGCTTTGTGGTATCGTAGGGTTTTACATATGATTTGAGCTGTAGCTTTGTGGTATCGTAGGGTTTTACAAATGATTTGTGCTGTAGCTTTGTGGTACCGTAGGGTTTTACATATGATTTGTGCTGTAGCTTTGTGGTACCGTAGGGTTTTACATATGATTTGTGATGTAGCTTAGTGGTATCGTAGGGTTTTACAAATGATTTGTGCTGTAGCTTTGTGGTACCGTAGGGTTTTACATATGATTTGTGCTGTAGCTTTGTGGTATCGTTGGGTTTTACATATGATTTGTGCTGTAGCTTTGTGGTACCGTAGGGTTTAACATATGATTTGTGCTGTAGCTTTGTGGTATCGTAGGGTTTTACATATGATTTGTGCTGTAGCTTTGTGGTACTGTAGGGTTTAACATATGATTTGTGCTGTAGCTTTGTGGTACCGTAGGGTTTTACATATGATTTGTGCTGTAGCTTTGTGGTATCGTAGGGTTTTACAAATGATTTGTGCTGTAGCTTTGTGGTACCGTAGGGTTTTACATATGATTTGTGCTGTAGCTTTGTGGTATCGTTGGGTTTTACATATGATTTGTGCTGTAGCTTTGTGGTATCGTAGGGTTTAACATATGATTTGTGCTGTAGCTTTGCGGTATCGTAGGGTTTTACAAATGATTTGTGCTGTAGCTTTGTGGTACCGTAGGGTTTTACATATGATTTGTGCTGTAGCTTTGTGGTACCGTAGGGTTTAACATATGATTTGTGCTGTAGCCTTGTGGTATCGTAGGGTTTTACAAATGATTTGTGCTGTAGCTTTGTGGTACCGTAGGGTTTTACATATGATTTGTGCTGTAGCTTTGTGGTATCGTAGGGTTTTACATATGATTTGTGCTGTAGCTTTGTGGTATCGTAGGGTTTTACAAATGATTTGTGCTGTAGCTTTGTGGTACCGTAGGGTTTTACATATGATTTGTGCTGTAGCTTTGTGGTACCGTAGGGTTTAACATATGATTTGTGCTGTAGCCTTGTGGTATCGTAGGGTTTTACAAATGATTTGTGCTGTAGCTTTGTGGTACCGTAGGGTTTTACATATGATTTGTGCTGTAGCTTTGTGGTATCGTAGGGTTTTACATATGATTTGTGCTGTAGCTTTGTGGTATCGTAGGGTTTTACAAATGATTTGTGCTGTAGCTTTGTGGTACCGTAGGGTTTTACATATGATTTGTGCTGTAGCTTAGTGGTATCGTAGGGTTTAACAAATGATTTGTGCTGTAGCTTTGTGGTACCGTAGGGTTTTACATATGATTTGTGCTGTAGCTAAGTGGTACAGTAGGGTTTTAACATTGAAAGTGGAGATTGTAGAGATTCATTTGTGTGAAAACCTGACCCACAATTATTCAGCATATACCTAATATGAAATGAAAAAAATGCTATCCCATATCACAGACACCATCTTTGATAAAATTGTAATATAAAAGAAATTTTAAAAAAATCAAATAGCATGACTATATTACATTAAATTCTTAAAATAGTGAAAACTGAAGCTATATGATGCGTCAGTCCTAATTGAATTGTATTTAAAGTAACAGTGAAATCTTCATTTTCACATCATATAATGCATTTTTTCACATTTTTCTAATGTTGCTTTAGTTGAGTCAACAAACTGTAAAATACCAAACCACAGCAATGGCATAACAGAGAGGAATAACTAAAGGTTATGCATATAAGAAAACGCTTTATATTTTTCTCCTCTACTTTACAACTCATTAAAGAAATGAATTTACATATCATTTGATTGACTTGAATAACTTTCCTCATTACAGGAAAATGATATGGACGAGGAATTGACAGGGTTTTTGGAGCATTGCTTCTCATATTTACCATCTCCATTTGAACTGAGTAAAGATATTATACAGGATGAACCTAACTACTTCACAGCTCCTTTCAACAGAGAACGAGTTGATCAGTAAGTTTGTACTCACAACTGATTTTGTTATTTCAATATATACATTTTCTTTTTCACAACTTTGTCATACATTTGTTCTTTGCACTTTGTTTATATTTCATATTTGATTTTTCAAACTAATCTTTAAACACATATCATACTAGAAATGAAAATAAATAGCTAATAGATTTAACTACTGCAGCATTGATATTGTTTATTAAAATAGGTCAATAGTATATAAAGTTCATAAACTAAAAATAGAAATTTCGAAAGATTCAGACTTTAAATAAGTACAAATGCATTATATAATTAATACTGTTGAATAGCAGTTTTTGTCTCGCCTTGATGGAGTCAAAAAGCGAGACATAGGAATGCTTTTTCCCCCATCGGCGGCGGTGTCAACAATGTATTAGTTTGTGATTAGGTGTAGTTTATGGTGAACCACTAGTGGTAGGTCAATGATATTCGGTATGCAGTTGTATTAGCATTGGAACATCTCATTAACATGAAGATTATTTGGCCCTAACCCTCTCAGTCATGGTCTATTGACTTTGAAACTTTGCTTAGTTTACATGTATTAGTTTGTGATTAGGTTAGTTTCAGGGGAACCACTAGTGGTAGGTCAATGATATTTGGTATGCAGTTGTATAAGCATTGGCATATCTCATTTCCATGGAGATTATTTGGCCATGCCCCCCTCAGTCATGGTCTATTGATTTTGAAACTTTTGCTTAGTTTATATGTATTAGTTTGTGATTAGGATAATTGGTATGCAATTGTATAAACATTAGCACATTGTATAAACATTAGCACATCTCATTTACATGGAGAATATTTGGTCCTTACCCCTCAGTCATGGTCTATTGACTTTGAAACTTTTGCTTAGTTTACATGTATTAGTTTGTGATTAGGTCAGTTTAAGATGAACCACTAATGTTAAGTCAATGATATTTGGTTTGCAAGTTTCATTTCCATGGAGATTCTATAGCCCCGCTCCCTCATCATGGTTCATTGACTTTGAAACCTGTACATAGTTTACAAGTACTATGCTAAAATGTTTGTGTTTAGGTTTGTTTAAAGGGAACGACTTATGAAAAGTCAATTTTATTTGGTATGCAGTTGTATTAGCATTGGCACATCTCATTTCTATGGAGATTGTTTAGCCCTGTACCTTCAGTCATGGTTCATTGACTTTGAATATTTGCATAACTTACTTGTTAAAGTATTGCTATTTTAATTTCAACATTTGCATTATCAAAATAACAAATAGGCGAGACATATCTCTGTGTTAACAGTTTATTTTTTCAAATTGCTAAATGGGACCTGCAGTCAAATTTAGGTATTGTAAAAATGTTACCTGTATGCAATCAATTAGCTTGGTTATAAGTTAGAATTCATGCACAAGTAAATTTCTGTAACTCCTCTGATCCAAAAGACATAACTTGGCGTCAGTCTCATGTTTTTTTAAAGGCTACACTATGGATTTCAGCCACATACTTACTCTATACTAAGTAATAGGTTACTGTTTATATGATAAGTATCTGAAATTAATTGATCAGATGTTAGTATTTCTAAAGGTGTAATTAAAAACACGGTGAAAACTGCTTCAGATATTTGGCAACTCCATTTAAAGGGAAACTCCGCAAAAAAATGAAAAATTGATATTTTGTTCTTTAAGCATAAAAAACAACATGTTCATAAATAAAAAACTTTTATTCTCTATGTAAAGAGATCAAAATCGATTTTTGAAATTCACTATCAGTTCTCGACATATCGCCATCTTGTCGGCATGTTCGATCTAAAAAGTCACGTGATATCTATAAACCACAAAGAACAAAAAGAATCGGGGATTTACCGACCGTGCGTTAAAAACTCCCATCATCAATTGGGGATTACCGTAGACGGTTATTCAGTGTCAAAATGTCTTGTCAAGAGTAAGGTTGTTCTGTCAGACAAATTTATGACAAAAGTCTACATAGTTTTCCCAATCCCACAAAAAAGAAAGAATTGTATCAGACATGGTTGTACAACCTTAAACTAACAGCAAATAGTTGCATCTATAGCAAGCACAAGTTGGTGTGTGAAGACCATTTTGAAGAATATTGTTTCGAGGGAGATTCGATGGTAATTATCCTTTTTTAATAACAAATTAACCTAGCAGTTCTGATAGCTATAGTTATCAAATCCTTATATGATAAGATTTCGTTGAATAAAAAAAAATATAGATTTGATGAGGAATAACAGTTTTAATTATAAGAAAGACAAATGCAGTGTTCTTGTAACAATCACTGATTTACAGAAGATTCATTAGTATGCCTCTTTTATATAAAGTGCATTGATTTGTATAAAGAATAGTTCCGTATTAAGACGAGATAATTTTTCAATTAATAAAGTTATACGATATAGAAAAACATTTTTTTAATTATGATATTTAACGGCTATTGACAAGGAGCAATGTTAGGAAGGGGTTTAAGCTGGGACATAATATGTTGATATAGTATAATGTTCCCAGGTTATAGATATGTAAATATCGAAATATCGGACATCTCAATTTTTTTTATTAAAAGTGTTTTTTTTTAACTAATCTTTAAATTATATCAAATTGATACGGGATCAATTCGGAACGGTCACTTATAAAGACACTTAGCTTTACAGTTAAATGTGTGACTCTATCTGGAATGTTCGGTGAAAATTTTATAGGTTTTTTTACTTTTTAAATTTTATTTACGTTATCTTATTATATATATATTTTGGCTTCCTCCCGAATTGATAATAGGTATGTCAGAATTATTGATAGATGTCGTGTCAGAGCGACACATTCAGGTAGGTATTCCAGGGACGTATATTAGATACACGTCCCTGGGTATTCCAGTGACATCCTGTCAACTAAAAATTCGTATTACACAATTATATAATACAGGTTCATGCATGGCCTCTTTATTGAGGTACCCGCTGTGCACAGGTAACATTTATTGAACCATATATTTGTGTCTAACGTTGTTTAGCTTGTGTGTGTTTGAAATTATAATTCCACCTTTTAATGAATGATGTTCTGATAATAATATTATCCACTATTTTTGCTGATAATAAGTTTTAAAAAAATTATAAACATGACCTTTGAACATTTTTGTGAAATGAATATTGTTTTGTCATGATTCTGGACCATATTTTTGAAAGAAAAAAATTCTTCACGCAAATACAAGCTTTTGTTGATTGGCAAACATGCAGATATTTATAGTAATGCAGCACTTATAGTCACTATCAATATTAATTCATTGAAGATAAGAGAGCCCCTTCTATGTCTAATGTCCCTATCTTTATAAGGATAAGAACGACAGGGGAAAAAGGAGCGGAGATAGAGTGGCATAGTGAAAAAAAATTACCGAATAGAGAACAATATAGAGAATGATCGACAAAAAGCGAAATAGTTATTGTAAAGGAGCGGAGATAAAGAGAGGCATAGTGAAAAAAAATGTTTGCTTGACAAATTAAGTTATTGCTCGCTTTGATATTTTTAGTTATACAAAATCACACATCGTGTTCCTAATTGCTATTCACGTGCACTAACTTGATGCTGGGAACAGTATATTAATATATATGTTCCTGCTTGATTGTTAGGTTTCTGCATAGCATGGTTAAAAATAATTAGTATCCCATTTGTTATATCGTAGTGTCACGGTGTTATTTTGTTAAATTTATTTAGTTTGTTAATGATTGTGTAAATAAGAATAAATCTGTATAAAAACTTCATACCATTTTAGTGATTGCCTATAGGCATTTGATTATTGTTATATTTAAGATATATATATATATATATATTTAGAACCGTTCATACATCTTAAAGTAAAAGATGTGTGTCTGAGTTAAACGACACAAGAACCCTGTAATACTAGTACGAGAGTAAAGCATGTAAAAATTCCTACTCAATATGGTTGTATTGGAAATCTTTTCATACAGATTGACAACTCATGGTCCGACATGCATGTAATATTTGCCACATGACGCTCATAGTTCTATCTACCATCATCATCTTATTCATTAAATATTGCGGTAAACATCGATGGTTCACACCCAAACAAAATGGGAGTAATATACCTTCAGATCTTCTCCGTGGTATACACTTGTGAAATATATAGACGAAATTCGGTATTGAAGTAAATCTACATCTCACAAACACAATTTTTGAATTACGATTTTGAGTGAACACCCACCAAACCAATACAAACGTATGGCAAGATATAACCATGCAGGCATTCAGTTTTCGTCAGGCATAAGATAAATAATCACTCTCATAAAGGTATATATGCATGCAGTTTCAAATATCAAGAACAAGCGTCGATGTCTATAGATCATTGTTAAATCCGTTTACTAACTGTTCAGAGTCAGACATGTCAATAGTTCATTCTTGGAACCTTCATATACCCCATCCGACGATGGGAACTCTTTCTGATAGTGTTGACAACATAAGCTTGTTTATCTGTACAAGTGGTTGCATGGCCTCTCCTTCCCCAACAAACAAAAACGCTACTAGTCTGCTATCTCTGGAGCTCATCCTTAATAGCGCTTATACGTCAGGAAACTTACAAGTATACTAGTAAAGATTGTTTCAAGAACAACGAGGTTAGGACGAACTGTCCTAAAATCGTCAATATCAGTAATACATTACTAAGATATGTCTTTAATTACAACAACTGTATTACTAATTTGGATTAATGACGGCTATCCTAAAAATAATCCTCAAACAAATTAATGTATTAGCTTAGATTTATAATGTATGTATATTGCTTAATGAAATAAACGATAATTGGTATTCTTTTCACAAATAATTTGTGCAAGTGATTGTCAAATGAATTTAATTATGTAAGAATGAAATGTTAATAAGAAAATTAAAAAAATCATGCATGTTGTGCTGTTGTATTTTTTCAATTAACTTGAAACTTTAAAATTGCGATAGTTTTACGTTTGTTAGCATTTAAACATCGCCAGATTTAAATACAAGTTAAAGAATTCCGGTAAAGTAAATTAAACAGATGTGTCATGATTATTAATTGGGAAATATAACATTTAATTTTTAAGATTAAAAGTACTATTCTTTTAACTTCATATCTTAACTTTATGCTAATTGCATAGAACGTAACCGAAAATTGTTCCATTTTAATATTGTAACAATTCCGGAATTAAAAAGTTGAATGTTAATTTTCAATTAATTTATACAATTTAATTATTGTTTCTCTATTGTCATCGGGTATTTCATCTGGGCATATTAAACACGCTATACTCTTTCTGTTAATCCATTCAAAATGACAATATACACTCCTGTGTACGCTTGAATTCACACCTGTGTACGCCTGAGGCTAAATTGCTGCAAGGTAAAGTTCAAACGAATTCTCCTCAAATCGAGAAATAAACAATGACTTTACAAAATAATAGACACACTCTGTTCACAAATATTTTGCATTGAAATGGTTATCAAAGTTATAACGGTAAATAAAACTTAAAATATTTTCAGTTCAATATCAGTAAAAATGTTCTATAGATATTTTATGAAAAAATCTCAATAATTTATGAAATTAATTCGAAAATATTTATATTTAGATAACTTCATATAGGAAGTTTTATTCAATCAATACAAAACAGTACACACATATTCATTTTCTTTCATTCTTGTATTGTGGTTATTAACTACGACCAACCGTCATCTATGCGCTTTTAATTACGTAAAATTCTGATAAAGCAATTAAGACTTTAACAGATTTTATTTTTTCCCATGATTCAACAAATCGGGTTAAAACGTCACAACCCAGTGACGTAGGTCAACCAAAAAAGTTACAAATACTTGATTTTCTCCGTTATTAGAAAGAATATAAATTTAAAACTTTGTGAATGAGTTTTTTATGTTAAGATGAACATATTTAGATGATAAGTAAAAAATCGCGGACTTTCCCTTTAAAGATTTTCATGAATACGGCTATAGGTCTATTTTTTGTCAAAAATGTATGTTAGACTTTAGCTATGGATGCTTGGAGAAATGAAACTTTAGATTCCAGATAAGTGATACAGGCTTCTTTCTTGGAGTTTATGATTTTTGTTATTGTAGGCACACTTAAATTCCTTTACACATATTGATTTATCTATGCTCTTTGCTCACACTTGAACACCACTAAGTACATGTTTATAAGCATTTGTTTTAGTAATGATGTTTTCATACAATCATCTAACACTTTTCCATTTTTATCTTTCCTATTATTTACTGTATTGTTCATCCTGATTGGACAGAGGGCTGTAAGCTTTTTGCTTTTTCTATGTAAAATTAGCATGCTATGCATTCAGTAGAATATTTTATGGAATGAGGAAGTGTATGTTATGCATTTTTAGACTTATTCAGATGGTTACTAAGAACTGTTACAGTAAAAATATTCTAACAGATGGTATTGTTTGATTAAAACCGTTGTATCTGTATAGTCAACTTCATAAGAATGGATCCCTCAAACCCCTATCAATATGAATGTGATATATATACCTAGAAAAAAACAATTGTTTATTCCTGATTACCGGTAATTATTAGTATTAATGCTGATGAAAGACCTTATTTTGTAAACTGTTGCATTTACACCCATGTATTTGAACTACAAGCAGAATCTAATCAAATCTATCAATAACAGCATGCTTCAGTAAGTGACTTAAATTGGTCTAACCTGGCTCAGTGGCCAGTGTGAGCTTTTGCCATCACTTGGTATCCGACGTCGTTGTCCATATTTTACAAAAATCATCTCCTCTGCAACCACTAGGAAAATTAAATGATTTTGGTAGAATGCATGTTTTGTAGATTGTTTTGAAAACCTTTAGAGAGAGACAAAATTCTGACAAAAGCAGAAACATTCGAAATGTTAACTGTAGAAGGAGTTATTTCTCTTCAATGGCGATTTCTTACCAATATTTTTCATTCGCCTGTTATCTTGAAAACTATAATAGATAGATGGAAACTTTGAATATCAAAAATGATAAGCAGAACAAGATCTACAAATAATTCAAATGGCAGAAATTGTCAGTTGACTTCTTTTACGAATTATTGCCCTTTATTGATGATATTATCCCATTTTGCATTTTTGTTGAAAACTAAATGAGATTAAGAAAAAATTATAACAGCTAAAGTGACACAACAAGACAAGATCTAAACATAGATCAACATTTCAGAACCTGTCAGTCAATTTCTTTCATCATACATGATGATTTTTACCATTTTTTTTATGTTAGGAGCAAAAACTATAGAAGATAGAGTTACACAAAATAGAAAAAAAGGATGACCTAGACAAGTTCGACACTTACCGGTACATTAACCACGAAATCAAATATCCACGAACATGTAAGTTTTCCTTGATCCACGAAAATTGATACCCACGAAAATAAATGAATCCACAGTAACTGCGATTTTTTTGTGAAAGGAGTTGCAAAACTGAAACGAGAGTATTAAATTTGGTTCAAAATGGAACTCAAGAGTCAAGTAAAAACCTGTTATAAAAGATCTATACAGGCAGTATCTTAGTTGTCAACAGAAATTATGTTCTAACTGCATGAATGTTATGTAATTTGAATGTTCAGTTTTTAGAAAAATGCACACTTCTTTATGTTAGCTAAATTCCACATGTATTTGTGCTGTGAATAAGTAGATTGAATTGTTGGCTATCAGAATGTTTGAAAACTTGATTTTAGTGCTGATGTTTTGATTGAATGGAAAACATTTGTTGGCTTACAATAATTTTGCTAGAGCTGGTATTGCAGGTTATCTGCAATTTGTTCATTTTCTCTTTGGTACTACTGCCTTATATTTATTTAGATCAGGGACAGGACTTGAAACTAAAAAAATATTTGGCAATGTCGTCATGTAGCAATGCAGCAACATCATGTTTTTCATGAGTATCTGCTTCAATATATCAATGAAATGCATGCAACATCATTCATGCATCAGAACATGTTTGGCCACAAGAGGCACACAAGAAATATACTGTTAAGACAAATTGCTGATAAAAAGATAATGGCATTTTTATATTGACTTCATCAGGTCTGATATCAGTCCAGCTTAACAGGTTTGCAAGATATTCTTGCTGATGAAAGTCAGCATCAAAAACAAAATTGCCATTATTCAATAATTTCTTGTTGTTTGGGTATATATTTGTGTTACATACTATTGTGGGTTCATTTTATTAATCTTTGTGATTCCAATTTTTGTTTAATTCATGGGAAAAGTTGGTAAAGAAATTGTCATAATCAACAAGATACAAAACTTTCACTGATCTGAATATATAGCTTGAGTTAAAACAATGAAAACAGGTATTCATGAAAGTTTAATTTGTCAGTTATACATAATTATGGTACAGAGTATAAAAATAAATGAATCCACAGTACTTAACCTATAGAATGTCAATGTGCATGAAATGGTTAAATTTTGATGGTCTTTCAATCATTCATCAAATTCATAAAAATGTATATATTTGTAGCTTCAAATTTTTTTATGATTAATTTTTTACACTTTGTAAGAGAGTATAAAAACATGATTGTATTTCTAATGCTAAGTCATAAAGTAGATTGATAAAATTTTATTCCAAGATACATTATATTTCACAACGGCAGTAGAAAATTTAAATTTTTGATCTAACTTCTTTGCTTAAAGCTCAGAATTATAATATAAGATTTATTAAATTTTACAGATTTATAATAAAGGATAAGGACACATTCTTCACCAATGCTCAGAGAAGTAAAATTGTATATGAGATTTTAGCCAGAACATGGTTTGAACATGACAAGAAAGGCAAGAAGAGGATTGGTAGGTTTTCTCATAGTTCTGACAAAACTTTATGAAAATTATATCCCAAATTTATATATTAAGGATATAAAGGATTATGTTCAGTTAAAACAAGGTTCATCTTTATGATCTTGTGTGTATTTTAATATTTTTTAAATTTTTGTTACATGTATTTTAAAGTATTTGTTTAATTATGGAATTTACATTATTTCTTGTGCTTGAAATTTTTAATGAATTCCATGTTTATTCTGTATTATAATGTTCCTTGCTGCGTACAACACTTTCTATTACAAAGAAGATAGCACATTTTCAATAGAATGTACTGTGCCGCGCACAACACTATCTATACAAAATACATTGTATAGAAAGTGTTATGCACCGCTCAAAACATAATAATACTTCATAGACATGGAATTTATCAAAAATTTCAAACACATGAAATTATGCAAATTCCATAATTAAAAATAATTCCAAGTTCAAATAATAGCCTGTTAATGATATATTACTAAAATAAAGTGGTTTTGAAGAGAGTTTTGAGAGGCATGTTGTATATTATAAAGTGCTAAATTTAGATAACTTTGATTTTATACTTGTTTATGGACAATTGTAACTTTATTGTGTAAATTATTTAGGTATTGAAGGTCTAGGTAATTACAACTAAAATGTGAATTTTCTATTGTTACTACATTCTCTGCATGTTGTTATGAGGAAATATGATTAGGCCAAATAAATTAAAGAGTGGGTTCTCTATCACACTAAGGCGAACTAGGGAGAATGGATGGGTGTGGTTTATTTGGGAAAAATTGTTTTTCTTGTTATATTGTATTGTTTAAATGATGCCAATTTTTTATCTGCCTTAACGGAGTCAAAAATCAAGACTTAATTATGCTCTTTCCGACATATGCAGATGCATAAGCATTGGAACATCTCATTTCAATGGAGATCATTTGGCTTCAGCCCATGAGTCATGGTCTATTGACCTTGAATGTTTTGCATACTTTACTTGTTAAAGTTTGTGATTAGATCAGTTTAAGACAACCCCTAATGTTAAGTCAATGATATTATTAGCATTCGCAAGTCTTCTTTTCCATGGAGATTATTTGGTCCCACCTCCTATCAAGGTTCATTGACTTTGAAACTTTTTACATTATTTACAAGTTATTGTGTTTAGGTTAGTGTTAAGGGAACCCCTTATGATAAGTCAATGGTATTCAGTATGCAGTTTTATAAGCATTGGCATTTCTCATTTCCATGGAGATTATTTGGTCCTGCACCTTAAGTCATGGTTCATTGACTTTGGATGTTTTGCATAGTTTATATGTCTTGAAAGGAAAAAAAATATATTTGAAAGAATGGACTGATGTGTCTTCAGTTTTATTTGGCCTATATGTCTTTTTTGATGGCATAGAAAATATGTATGATGCCTCTTTTCCCATTATAAATGATGGAAATAAGGGGATGATGCCATTATAATTAATATGTATTGATGATCCTGAATATACATCACTCAGAGTACTTGCATTTTATATAATAATACTGTTATAAGGAGAAAACAAATATGTACCATATAGTGATGATCTTGTATATTGTGTTATTACTTCAAATATTTCTCCTTCTCTTTTATGTCTTAATATAGAAGACATTTTCACTGTTTTCCCCTTTGTTTATTTAGATGCATTGTGCATTTCTAATCTGTTCATATTGCATACATTCAAACTTTTTGTCTTGTTTGCTTTCTGATACCCAAGAACACTAAGAAGAAATTTATTTTTTGTGTTAAAAAAAGTAGCTCAGAAGACACTTTAAGTAAATAATAATGGTTATATATAGTTTTAATAGGTTAATAGTTGTTTTAAAGTAATAGATTAGAAAAAAAATAATCATTTTTTGGCATCAATAAAATTGCCTTTTAACACTCCTTGTATTTATTTCTGAATCAATTCTGAGAAACAAATTACATTTTGTCAGAGGATCCACAGAGTTCTTTGACAGAAAATTGACGATTGCTAATCATTAGTGTATATATGACTCAAATTTGGATTTTAAGTCACCATCCATGTTTAATAGCTTATATTGTGCCTGGTATTGAAGGCATATTGTATATTTGAAAAGATGACAATAAAGGGAAAGTATAATTATAGGTTTCATAATGAGTGAAAATTGGATATCGTTTGATATCAACTTGAGTTACTTGATTTCAACATAATGATGAACGAGACTTCAGTGAGATAATTTCTATTTAACTTAAATAACAAGCCGATGACCTAACAAATAGCCAATGAAAATTACGTCTCATAATGCTGGATAAGTCACTCAAATTAACTCAGTTTTCATATCACACTCCCTGCAGTGTGATATGAGAAATATCTCTTCATACAAGAAATAGATAACAGGTCACAACCATAAGAGAATATGATTTATTCACCTTAGCAGGTTCTAATACAATGGGGGAAAAATGGAAAATTGTATTCGGCAGCGAAGAACTTTTTTTCTGAAAATGAAAGCATCATTCATTATCATACCTATTTAGTAGGATCTAAAAAAGATGCTATTGTTATAATAATACGTAACATTTATTATTATATTTTCAGGAGTGTCAAATATGGTGAATAATGGATCTTACACAGCTGCCTTTCCTCTCCATGATGTAAGTCAATCTCAGTTGATACATCATCGTCAAAGGTTTAGGCATTAATTTTTCACAAAAACTCGATGAAACAAGCTGCTATATGCAAAGACTGTTGTCAGTTATTATTAACTTATTACAGTTTTTTAATGATTTTTCATTTTGTCAAAATTACTGAACTCATATAATTTAGAACTAATAGAAAATGATTCCTCTGACATTTGTTAAAGATACAAAGATATCTTCTTGTTCAGATCTATTTCTGATAATTTAATTTCTAGCCCAAATCATGTCTGGTTATATTATTGTTTAACTTATAAGTTACAGTGTGCTGTACAAATAAGTGAAAATAGGGAAGGGGACACTAATTATTGTCTCGCCTTGACAGTGCCAAAAAGTGAGACATAGGTATGCTGTGTCCCGCATTGGCTGTGTCGGCGGCATCAACAATGTATTAGTTGATGATTAGGTCTAGTTCATGGTGAACCACTAGTGGTAGGTCAATGATATTTGGTATGCAGTTGTATTAGCATTGGTACATCTCATTACCATGGAGATTATTTGGCCCGCCCCCTCAGTCAAGGTCTATTGACTTTGAAACTTTGCTTAGTTTAAATGTATTAGTTTGTGATTAGGTCAGTTTATGGGGAACCACTAGTGGTCGATCATTGATATTTGGTATGCAGTTGTATAGGCATTGACATATCTCATTGCCATGGAGATTATATAATCCCACCTCCTAATTATGGTTCATTGACTTTAAAACTTTTACATAGTTTACAAGTTAATGTTTGTGTTTAGGTTTGTAGGGAACAACTTATGAAAAGTCCATGGTATTTGGTTTGCAGTTATATTAGCATTGGCACATCTCATTTCCATGGAGATTTTTTTAGCCCTATACCTTCAGTCATGGTTCATTGACTTTGAATATTTGCATAACTTACATGTTAAAGTATTGCTATTTTAATTTCAACATTTGCATTATCAAAATAACAAATAGGCGAGACATATAGATCTCTGTGTTAACAGTTTATTAAAAAAACAAATTGTTTTAAAATTGTATACATTTGTACTGTTGAGTCTATGACAAGTGATCAGTCTCCTGATTTCATACATACAAACTTAAGAAGAATGGAGACTTTGTCTTTCAGTGTTAATATTTCTCCTTTAAGAAGTTTGTTAATCTAGAAATTCATTATGGAAAGAAATTTGTGTAATTGTATGTCTTATGTCTTATGAACCTGTTCAATTCATTATAAAATTATCCGTCTTGTACTGATATCAAATGGGAAGATAAGTTTTAGTTAAAGGACTGTAAGAGTTAATTATTTGATTAAAGTTTACAGAAGGAAATGGGTGTGAAAATAGTGTCATGTGTTAAACATCCCTTTTCCTTCAATACACCTGATTACAATAATTATATCTGACAGACTACTTACCTCTCCATCCATCAATATTGTTTTGACCAGGTGAATGGACTTTGACAATACTTAAAACCACAACTTTCAATAAGTAAATATATTTTTTTTTCATGGTTATTATAACTTTAATTGATTAGTGTCCATTATAACGCACAAGTTTATACAATTTGACAAAATGTTTAAAATTCTTTCATAGATACAAAGATTTGATTAGTAAATTTGGCTGTACCTGTAGAAAACTGATTAAAAACTGTATTTCACATCCTAAATTTTACAGTAATATTGTACTTAAAGCGCGGAAATCACTATGTGATCCGTGTAAACTCATCAAACCTTTAAACAAACTTAGTAGTAAAGGTTATCTTACCAATGTTGTAATAAGATCTTTGAATATAGTTTACATTGGCACTAATATAGATTTTGTCATCAGCAAATTAAAACATAACTAAATTTGTATTCTTTTCAAACGGAATGTATAAAGACGCACCGACGTTCATTTTGATCTATAAAGAGGTTAACTCCTAACTATCCTACTGCCTGTTGATACATTTATTTTTGGCATTGCACAAGTCATGTCTTCTTTGACTGTCTATGAAGTTAAAATACTAAATCCCTGGGATGTGTTTTAGTTGATTTTAGTCTCTGATGCATGATTTTTTATTATGCCCTCGCCGTAGCGGTGGGGGCATTAAGTTTTACACTTGTCCATCTGTACGTACGTACGTACGAACGTCCCAAAATTGGTTTCCGTTCTCTAACTTGAGTTTGCCTCAACCAAATGTTATGAAACTTATACACAATGCTTATTACCACAAAACACAGATCAAGTTTGAATTTTGGTGGCGTCACTTTAATCGTTCTAGAGTTATGCCCCTTTATAAATGGAAAAATTGCAAAATTTTTAGTTTCCGTCCTCTAACTTAAGTTTGCCTTAACCAAATGTTATGAAACTTATACACAATGCTTATTATCACAAAACACAGATCAAGTTTAAATTTTGGTGGCGTCACTTTAACCGTTCTAGAGTTATGCCCCTTTATAAATGGAAAAATTGCAAAATTTTTAGTTTCCGTTCTCTTACTTAAATTTGCCTCAACCAAATGTTATGAAACTTATACACAATGCTTATTACCACAAAACAGAGATCAAGTTTGAATTTTGGTGGCGTCACTTTAACTGTTCCAGAGTTATGCCCCTTTAAAAATCGAAAAATTGCAAAATATTTAGTTTCCATTCTGTAACTTAAGTTTGCCCCAACCAAATGTTATGAAACCTATACACAATATTCATAACCACAAGATCAAATACAAATTTTTTGTTTCCGTTTTCTAACTTTAACTTGCCTCAACCAAATGTTATGAAACTTATACACAATGCTTATTACTACATAATACAGATTAAGTACGAAATCTGGTGGCAACACTTTTACCATTCTTGAGTTATGTCCCTTTATAAACATAAAAATTGCTGAATTTTTCGTTTCCGTTCTCTAACTTTAGTTTGCCTCAACCAAATGTTATAATACTTATACACAACCGTTCTAGAGTTATACATGTTTACAAATAGAAAAACTGATGAATTTTTAGTTTCTGTTCTCTACTTAAGTTAGCCCCTACCAAATGTTATGAGACTTACACACAATGCTTATTACCACAAAACTCGGATCAAGTTCAAATTTGGGTAGTGTCACTTTTATCGTTCTTCAGTTATGTCCCTTTATAACTATATGATATGCAAGCGGGGGCATCATCTGTGTCCACATGTGGACACTATCCACATAATTGTTTTTGGCTTTTAACTAGCTGTCAGTAACTGTTAGTACTCTCAAATCGTACTTTCTTGTTTATTTGACCTGTTGATACTAATTGTAATGCTTTTTTGTTATTTAATGTTATTCAGGGTTATATCTTGTCTATATACCAGCTTTGATAAGTGTTTGGTATTACTATAAATTTTCACTTCTTCGTACTATGAACATCAAAATTATTTATTTTGTAAAAATATTTCCTTTCTTCATTTGAACTGTACACGTATACCTAACAACAAAATTATTTACCTGTGTTTAAAGTAATTGCAAATGGCTGATATTTTTGTTCAAGCATATTGTTTTTCTTAAATTGTTTAACATTTCACAGCGGTATAACACGTTACTTTAATTTATTTATTTTGTATTTACATTGTATCATAGATCAAATTTATTTGTTCAGTGTATGTTCACCGGTGTTAATATGTCTTTTGATTGAGTTAAGCCATTTCAATTGATATTTTATAGTGTGTCTTTCTATGTTGTGATGTTACACTATTGTTTCAGATAAGGATGAAGGTTTGGTACCATTAAAACGTTTAAACCTGCTGCAATTGTTTGCACCTGTCCTAAGCCAGGAATCTGATGTTCAGTAGTTGTCGTTTGTTGAAGTGGTTCATAAGTGTTTCTCGTTTCTCGTTTTTTATATAGATTAAACTGTTGGTTTTCCCGTTTGAATGGTTTTACACTAGTAATTTTTGGGGCCCTTTATAGATTGCTGTTCGGTGTGAGCCAAGGCTCAGTGTTGAAGACTGTACTTTGACCTATAATGGTTTACTTTTATAAATTTTGACTTGGATGGAGAGTTGTCTCATTGGCACTCATACCACATCTTCTTATATCTATTAACAGTCTTTGTGTTCATAATATGTTATCATCATGAGAGAATGATGCAGTACATGTTTTTATCTATAGTGTAGTGTTAAGATGATCAGACCTCAAGACAGATATATTTTTCTACCAGAAATGGTTCTGTCAATACCTCTTCAACTTCAACTTATACTTAAAACAAATAAGAAAAAAAAAGGTCTCAGTTAAGATACAAAATCAGCTTTACTGAATATGCATGTTACAGTTAGTTGGGTAAAATGAATTAAATTGTTACTTCAAGACCTGTATCAAAGGCCACCTCTATCATGGTGCAGAATTATACTTTGCAGAGAATGCACTTGTGTTGTGAAAAAAAGATTACTGCACAAACTAACTGATGTATTTTTTCTTCAGGGTAGATACATCAGTGAACATTCTATCCTGGCCAGCGGTAAAGATAATGATAGACATGTAAGTATATTGGTAGTCCCTTAGTCACCACTTCTCTAGACCAAGAAATTATTTTTTATATTTTATACATGAACCAGGGCTTCCAAAAAAAATTTGAGCTAATCAGACATCTTTTCAATCCCGTTTTTTATTTCTTAATACTTTGTAACTAATGCCAATCAAGGTAATTACTTGGGAATTGAGGACATTCTAACAATGACTGACATGAAAACAATTACTTCATACTTTTGATTTGGATTCCGTGAACATATTAGTTCGTACATTGATAGTTCTGTTAACTGAAAGTACGACGTTTCAAGTGTGGAACATCAGGGAATTTAAGCCTAACTCTTTATCTATTTTTCTAAATTGTACTGTCCGCTTTAGGCTTACACCAGCTGGTCAAAAATAGATTCCACAAGTCATAACCAGAAAATATGACTGCTATGGAAGCCATGACATGTACATGTATTGCAATATTTATGTCACATGATTATAAATTAAACAATTTTATAAAAACTAAAAGTCCAATTATTATTTGAATTGTAAGAAGTTCACTTAAATATTTGTGTTATGTAGTTTTACAATATAAAATATGTTGAAATAAGTTCTGTTTACATTATTGTTCTATTTATGGAATACACATGTGTCTTGTAAGGTTTGGCTTTTAATTCTATGGTCATATGTGTACAAAATGAATTAACATTTCAGCTGCTGTATGAAACATGGGCTAAGCCAGGAGTATGGTACAAATATCAACCTCTCGATCATGTCAGGTATATATATTTTTACAGCATAAAAGAAAAAGGATGATGTTTCATAGTTTGATACTTAGGGATAAGATACTAAAACGAATATAATTAGAGCCATGAATTTGTAAACAGCACCTACTAGTATTCTGTAAGTTGACTTAGTTTATTGGCAATCAACATTTCACCTCTATACTGACAGCAGTAGTCACATACTAAACACAGATTTCCTATCTCAACACATTTTTTATACGACCGCAAAAAATTTTTGTGGTCGTATATTGGTATGACGTTGGCGTCGTCGTCGTCGTCGTCGTCCGGCGTCGTCGTCCGAATACACATTGGTTTTCGCACTCTAACTTTAGTTTAAGTGAATGGATCTTTTTGAAATTTTACCATAAGGTTAAATACCACAAAAGGAAGGTTGGGATTGATTTTGGGGGTTATGGTACCAACAGTTAAGGAATTAGGGGCCAAAAAGGGGCCAAAAATAAGCATTTTCTAGTTTCCAGACAATAACTGTGGAACAGTGTATGGATCTCTCTGAAATTATACTACAAGTTTCCATACCACAAAGGGATGGTTAGGATTTGCTTTGGGGGGTTATGGCTCAAACCGTTTAGGAATTAGGGGCAAAAAAGGGGGAAAAACAAGGTTGTCCTGGTTAATGGACAAATACTTCAGTACAAAACATAATTTAAAGCAGTGTAAGGGAGATAAATCAAATACATCATTGAAATTATCTCCCTTACACTGCTTTTAAATTATGTATAAAGTAATGGTTAATGAACATTAAAGATAATTTAAAACAGTGTAAGGGAGGTAATCCAAATACAACATTTTGGTTACTTCCCTTACACTGCTTTTAAATTATGTTTAAAGAAATGCATATTTATAAAGGAAGACCAGTAAAAATATCTGCAAATGTTGCATCATTTTATTTTACAAAAAAATCCATATGAAAGATTTGACACTATATTTTTAATTCTATTATAAAATAGATTAAGTTAGCACTATGGTAAAATTAAATGGGTAATTATGGTTGCCAACTCCATTGGAAATTTGAATTGAGATTATGACCATATCTTGAGGGAAAGAATTTTTTGGGGGAAAAAAGGGGGGGGGGAGGGGGATAAAAAGAAATTGTGGGGGGTCAATTTTTTCTCATTTCAGATTTCAGAAATTAAAAAGAATTATTCTTCAAATATTATTTTTTTTTCAAATTTCAAATATTGAAAAATTTCAAGAAGTAATCTTTAATTGCACAGTATGGCGCATTAGATTTGTAAAATCTTTGATCACATTTATTTATTTGTTATGCTGAATCTAACAGTGTATTTAGATTTTTAATTTTGGGTCCAGTTTTCAAATTGGTCTACATTAAGGTCCAAAGGGTCTAAAATTAAACTTTGTTTGATTTTAGCAAAAATTGAATATATGAGGTTCTTTGATATGCTGAATCTAAACATGTATTTAGATTTTTGATTTTTGGACCAGTTTTCAAGTTGGTCCAAATTGGGGTCCAAATTAAATTTTGTTTGATTTCAACAAAAATTGAATATATGGGGTTCTTTGATATGCTGAATCTAACCATGTATTTAGATTTTTTATTTGTGGACCCCGTTATCAAATTGGTTCATATTGAGGTCAAAAGGGTCCAAAATTAAACTTTGTTTGATTTCATCTAAAATTGAATTATTGGGGCTCTTTGATATTCCAAATCTAACTGTGTATTTAAATTTTTAATTTTGGGTCCTGTTTTTTAAATTGGTCTACATTAAGGTCCAAAGGGTCCAAAATTAAACTTATTTTGATTTTAACAAAAATTGAATTCTTGGGGTTCTTTGATATGCTGAATCTAAACATGTGTTTAGATTTTTGATTATGGGCCCAGTTTTCAAGTTGGTCCAAGTTGGGGTCCAAAATTAAACTTTTTTTGATTTCAACAAAAATTGAATATATGGGGTTCTTTGATATGCTGAATCTAACCATGAATTTAGATTTTTTATTTGTGGGCCCCACTATCAAATTGGTTCATATTGAGGTCAAAAGGGTCCAAAATTAAACTTTGTTTGATTTCATCAAAAATTGAATTATTGGGGATCTTTGATATTCCAAATCTAACCGTGTATTTAGATTTTTAATTTTAAGTCCCGTTTTTTAAATTGGTCTACATTAAGGTCCAAAGGGTCCAAAATTAAACTTAGGTTGATTTTAGCAAAAATTGATTTCTTGGGGTTCTTTGATATGCTGAATCTAAACATATGTTTAGATTTTTGATTATGGGCCCAGTTTTCAAGTTTGTCCAAGTTGGGGTCCAAAATTAAACTTTGTTTGATTTTAACAAAAATTGAATATATGGGGTTCTTTGATATGCTGAATCTAACCATGTATTTTGATTTTGGACATTGGACCATAATAGGTAAATTAAAAAAAATCAAGTTCTTAGACCACATTCTTTCTGTGTCAGAAACCTATGCTGTGTCAAATATTTAATAACAATCCAAATTCAGAGCTGTATCAAGCTTGAATGTTGTGTCCATACTTGCCCCAACTGTTCAGGGTTCGACCTCTGCGGTCGTATCAAGCTGCGCCCCAGCGAAGCATTTTATTGTAATATATATCTGTACATGTATTTCAGGACCTATTTTGGAGAGAAGATAGCTATATATTTTGCCTGGTTGGGATATTACACATCAGCATTGTTTCCTGCAGCAGCTTTGGGATTAGCAGTGTTTATTTTTGGCCTTGCTACATTTATGGATGATAAACCAAGGTATAAATGAACCAAAAAATATCAAATTATATTATCCATTTAAAGCAACAACCAAAAAAAAATCACACAAAACAATGTGAGATAGATGTATGCATATCTGTATTAGAAAAGCTAAAAATAAAGTGATGAGATAAAGAATTACCTACTAATCACAACACCAAAAATTATCTGTTTATTACTTATGAAAATTAAAAACACAAGGGGTTTAGATTGTTTTAAAGCACCTGCCTCAATATCTTTTAAAAGCTTTAACCAATGGGAGAAAATGTAAATAATATTTTAAGAATTTGTGGTTACAAGGCACATTTCTTGATTCACCTCCATCTGGAATGCTGAAAACAAAATCTTGAAAGTTTTTGGATTTATAGATATTAAAAAAGCAATATGACCAAAGGGGACATAAACAGAATAGCCTCAGCCATTGATGGTCAATAGACCAAAAGGGACATAAACAGAATAGCCTCAGCCATTGATGGTCAACTTTGTCTGAGGGGGGTCGGAAAATTACTTTTTATATAATTTATTAATTTATCAATGGAAATTTTAGAAATGTATGTTATAAATCCTGACATATGCAAAGAACTGACTACCGACTAGGCTGAGGAAACCCTCCAGGGACTAACACTTCACCAGCAGTGGTATCCACCAAGTGCAAGAAAATAAAACTAATGCTTTATATATTTTGTGCTTATGAAGTAGTTTTCTGAATTTACCTTCATCTGGAACGCTCAAAACCCAAAATTTGATAGCCAGGGATGTATGAATGCTTAGGAAACAATATGACCATTAGAGAACTAAATTATTGCTATTCTTCATCTTTTTTAAAAATTCTATTATTTATTCTTTTATGGAGGAATTGGTTGCAGTGAATTAGTTACCTATTAGTTAAAATTATATTACTTCATGTGATTTCAATTCATAGTGTGTCAATATATACTATAGACAATAGAGGGGTGGTAGGAGGGGGTGTCATCCTGAATTCCCGAAAAAAAATTATTATTCTTTCCCATATCCCGAAAAATCAAACAAATTAATAAAAAAAAACACTGATAGGTGTGAATCCTAAATTCCTGCGAAAATAAAAGGCCAAATCATGAATTCCGGGGAAAATAAAGTCCTACTCTCAACGTCCCAAAAAAAGGTCCTTCCACTCCTTACAATAAGATGCAAGTTTTTTTATTAATGCTATTTTGGCAATATTTTTGGCAGCGATAGCATAAGGTATATATAATCAAGCATATCTGTCCATATGTAATATAATTTACAATCCACTTTCTGAAAAGCTACCAAATATATTTCAGCAATATATAACCTCTGATCCTGTGAATGTAACTCTGGATGTACATGCTGCGATCTATATTTTTGCAATTGTTCCAGTTCATTGTATTTAAACATCTTAAATGCAAATTAATGAAAATAAAAATGCTGCTTCTTCTATTTAGTAACGACATCTGTGATCCAAACGGTGCAGGAAATTTTACCATGTGTCCTCTGTGTGATGCTCGGTGTACGTACTGGAAGCTTGAGAGCAGTTGTAGATACTCCAGAGCTACTTACCTATTTGATAACTATGGCACTATGATATTTGCTGTAGTTATGGCTTTATGGGGTAAGTTTTTAGCTGAATACTAGTTTTTATAAAAAGGGTTATTGGCATTCTTATAGGTTTTCATAACTTTCTATAGAAAACAATTGTTGTTTGATAACATGTTTCAGGCTAAGTTTTCACTGCACCATAAACTAAATTTGTACGTATCTTGCATATTTAACGAAAGAATATAAGACTTATTGCTGCAATATTTCAAATGTAACCAAACTATTTATTTTTTCAGTCCATGGTGGATTTTTTTATTTTAAAAATCAAATACCTACTGTAAGGTGAAGAATATTATTATCTGTCCCTCTAACTATTCACATAATATAGTCACCATTTAGTAGAATACTATAGTTAAATCTTTGTTGTTTATAATTTTTCATGTACAGATTGTGTGTATGATATTATCATTGTATATCATTACAGCATCATTCTTCCAAGAGTTCTGGAAGAGAAAGCAACATGAGTTAGAGTATGATTGGGATTGTGCAGACTTTGAGTCAGAAGAGGTTAGTCATCAAATTCAATGGCATATTCTTACAGTAAAATCATATTTGAAGTGATATATGAGGTATCATTTTCATAAGAGTTGTTGGAGGAATAACTATTATAAAGTGATTCCATGGACATTTCTGTTTGCCTATCCAAAAGGATTGCATGCACATATATGATAAAAGAATAGATTTATGGAGAACAGTAGAATTATGTGATGGTCACTTATAGTAGAACCTGCAGTACAGGTCAAAATGACTTTACAAACAGGTGTTGAAAAAATGGTTGAACTTGTTCACTTGTTCTAATCTTCAGAGTTCTTGCATTGAATATGCAAAATTTACTGTCACAAGGAAAAACATTGCTGTTCTAATTTCCTTCCTTTAGCAAGTTTTGGTAGCTCATTCTGTAGGAATATCCTATTATATAATAGTTAACATCTTCTGATTTTAGAAGACTAGATATATAGAGTATGTTTATAAAACATTAGATAAGACATTGGAAGTAGTTTCTTTGACAATAAGGATGCATAACCCTACTTAATGCATATTAAGATTCTGTCAAAATTTGTGCAAATATTTTCAAGTGCTTTTTTTCATCTTTGTAATTCTATTTACAGGAAACACTGCGACCAGAGTTTGAAGCTGCTATAAGCAACAGAAGAACCCATCCTGTCACAAAGGTATAAAAATCTGTCCGTGTTCTGATGTGTTATGTGTGTATTTAGTCTAATGAACCAATTTTGTTTGTTTTACCTTATCATCCATAAATTCTACAACAATCTGTTACTAAAGCAAAACATGAATCAGGAAAAACAGATATAATTTGTTTGCACAAAACACATGTTTTCTGATTAACTTAAAAAAAAAAAGAAAACGAAACAAATGAGTTGTTACATGTGAGCGCTTATGGATCTGTTGGACACTTACTGCCTGTTTGTGGATACTTTGAAAACCAGTGGGAGTATGCTGAGTACCACAATGGGTGCAACTCCTTGTTATTGTTTACTACAGTGATTCATTTACAATAACACAATTTTAAAAACAAATACAATGATCCATATTTTTATAACTGTGAGATGAAGTACAAAAGCTGTTTGGAAAAAGTCATTTAGATATATCATGATGTGTTTTGCAGAGAGAAGAGCCTTTTGTTCCTTCCTACAGTAAATGTATCAGATATGGGACCACTCTTGGTATTATAGTGTTCTTTGTAAGTAAATTTAACAAAATGACTATACATATGTTTTTTTTTTAGTATTGAATAAGCCATGTCCATGAAAAATTATGAGACTGCCACTTGTTAATAAAAATAAGTTAAAAGTCACTTATATTATGAATTATCAGTTCATCAAGTATTCAAAATATTTCCATGGATATGAATTATCATATATCATGGGTATTCTTAAAAATTCAAGAGAGCTTGAAGGAAAATGTATTTCAAATAGGTTTGTTTCTAATTTTATCATTTCTTTAAAATTTCCACATTTTATGCAACATATGTTTGTTTGAAATACAACTGATGCTGGTAATGATGTTGGTGAAAGAAAAAATATTAAGTGCAGTTATGTGTTGTTTTTGCATCTGATTGGATTATGTTACTATTATCTGTTAAGAGTTATGTCCAATATTCGTTGTCATTTGGCATGGCACAATTTTATAACATATATTTATTTGATTGCAGTTATGTGTTGTATTGGCAGCAGTATTTGGTGTAATTCTCTATCGTGTAGTGATCTCAGGAGTTCTTTATGCAAGCACAGATGGCGTTATCAAATCAAGGGCAACAATTATAGCATCAGTAACAGCAGCATGTATTAATTTTGTCATCATCTTAATTCTTAATTTTGTAAGTATTAAAATAAATACCTCATGATGTTAAATAGAAAATGTATATACACATACACACAATGTAGATTAATCATTCTTTATAGCAGCAATTTTAAAATTTCTTATTCATTTTCCTTTGGAAAAGTAGTTCTAGATACCCATCCATTGATGCAATTTCAAAGTAATGTATAGGTGGAAATTTTCCTGCACAGGGACTGTGCTGGGCTTTGCCAATGTCGCAAATTACGATTTTTAATTTCATCTGGTGACAAAATGTGGCTGCTGGCAATATTTGACACCAGCATTTTCCCATGTCGAAATTTTCATTGTTTGACGAAAGGTAACAAAATCGATCATTGTTTTTGAAAGTAAAAAATAAGACGGCAATACATCACATAGCTATTCATCACTTAAAGTTAAATGATGTGTAAAGAAATTTAAACTCGACTTGGCTTCAATTTGGGTAGAGGAAATAAAGACTCTAGCTGGCCCTAAACTGGCGACAAAGTATAGAAGCTGGCGATTTTTCTGGCTCAAACTTTTTGGGAGCCAGAACAACCCTTGTTGCTGCTGTTATTTTTGTGTATTTAGTAATCACATAAAATAGGAGAATGTATACCTTGCCAAAACTGTAAGAACAAATCTTAAACTTCATGTGAAGGGCACACTAATTGTTGATTAGAGGTTTTTAACTCGTGTGTGTATCAAGTTTATGCATTGAAATCATGAAAATAGCAACCAATGAAAATGTCTCAAACGCATCAAACGAATGGATAACATCTGTCATATTCCTGACTTGGTACAGGCATTTTCTTATGTAGAAAATGGTGGATTGAACCTTGTTTTATAGCTAGCTAAACCTCTCACTTGTATGACAGTCCCATCAAATTCCATTATATTGACAACGATGCGTGAACAAAACAAACAGACACAATAGGTGAAAATGTCAAAAATAGGGGTACAGCAGTCAATTAAAACAGTGTTTAATGTATAAGCATTTGATAATAATGTTTTGATTCCTGGTACATAATGATGTAAAATGGAATGTAAATTTTCTTGTAGAGGTGGATATTATTTAGCATGACCTACGATAATATTTAAGGGCCATTGACAACTGAGAATAGAATTTTACTTATCGGTTCTGAGGTTATTAACAATTTTATTTATTTCTAGGTATATGGAAGAATAGCTTTATTCCTTACTGATTTAGGTAAGTAAATTTTAATTACAAACACATAAACTATAAAATGTGTAGAACAAAAATATCTGAGGAGCCTTAAAATGGAGAATACTTTTTACTTTTTAAACTAAAATTGTGGCATCACGAAAGTAGGTGACCATTCCTGATGACGTCACATAGAGCACATATTCATGTCAATCATTGAAAATGTCTTAATATTGTCATAAAATCATTAGAGAAACAGATTCCAACACGAAATCTCATGCAATACAATATTTCTCAACTCTCAACAGTTAGATTTTAGATATTTAAACCATCTCTAGTGAAGGAATGTTTTTAAACATTCGAATCAGTGGTAGAATCTATATCTAACCAATGTTGAAAAAATAGTTATATTTGAGTTTCTACATTTTCTGTTGCAGTTACTCATTACTTTTAAGAATGCTGAATTTAGCACATTCATTAACTTTATAAAGAATATAACTATTCTACAGATGTATTTTTATTGAAATTGCCTGGTTATGATGCTGTCTTATTAATATATTTCTTCATTGATAATGTTTTATTTTCAGAACAACATAGGACACAGACAGAATGGGAAGATGCCTTTACATTTAAAATGTTTCTCTTCCAGTTTGTTAATTACTACTCAACAGTTGTTTATATTGCCTTCTTCAAAGGGAAGTAAGTACTATGGAATATTCTACTCAATATCTTAGATTTTCTGTTAATATCGTTGGTTAATTACTTCTCAACTGTTGTTTACATTGCCTTCTTTAAAGGGAAGTAAGTACTATGGAATATTATACTCGATATCATAGATTATCTGTTAATATCATTGGTTAATTACTACTCAACAGTTGTTTATATTGCATTCTTTAAAGGGAAGTAAGTACTATGGAATATTATACTCAATATCTTAGATTATCTGTTAATATCTTTGGTCAATTACTACTCAACAGTTGTTTGTATTGCCTTCTTCAAAGGGAAGTAAGTGATATGAAATATTTTGTTTGATATCTTGGATTTTATGTTAATATCATTGGTAAATGAGGTTAAAATATTTTTCTCTTTTCTTTTAGTAGCATTGCTCCTTTGGTAAAAAATTGAACAAAAGAGAGGCAAAAGATAATAAAGGGATATTCAAACTCATTAGTAGAAAACAAACTGACAATGTCATGGCAAAAAATGATCAAAAGACAAACAACAGTATAGAAAACACAGCATAGAAAACCAAACACTGAACAACATGAACCCCACCAAAAACCAGGTGTGATCCCAGGTGCTCAGGAAGGGTTAGCAAATCCTGCTCCACATGTGACAGTTTACCTTTGTTATGAAGTCTTTGTAATTATAAAAGAAGTGATCAAAGATACAAGGCTATAACATCTTTGTTGTCTTTTTTCTGTAAATATTTAAGTGTTTTCTACTCATTACATTTCAACCTTCATTCGTTTTTGGTGTTCTATTTCTTTCATTAGATACCAATGTCAACTTATGGCAGTATATTTTAGGAAGAAACAGTATATTTTACTTGCCTTCCTAATGGTTAATGATCTGATTTCTCAAATTCTATGCAATCTTGTCCTTATTTCTGCAGGTTTGTAGGACGACCTGGAGATTATAACTACAGTTTACTGGACAAAAGACAAGAGGAGGTAGGTATAAAATATTAAGTAAATGTCTATCTGACAGATGTCACCTGACCTTAACCTTTTTCATAGTACACTTATTAATGTTTAGTTATTGTACACAGTTGAGTTTCTCATTTACTATGAGTAATTTTATCAAATATGTTTGTTCTATGATTTGTTTGTAAGGTATACATGTCAACTTAATAGAAGTCACCTGGCCTTGACCCTCTTCACAGTTAATAAATTATCGTTTCTGAATATTCATGCTTCAGTCAGTTTTTCAATTATGTGAGTAATAGGTAAATTATATTTGATCTGCTAAAGAAAGGCTGTAAGCTGTAATTGTCTGTCTGACAAGATTTAATTGAACATCACTTTCGTTGGCGCTTACAACTGAATTGGATGCATATGTAATCGGAAAAGGAGAACAATATCTATACAAGATGCCATAAGGAAAGGCTTACTCAGAAACAAAAGGGCTGGAGCCTGCTGTTCGTCAGCTATTTCCTTAATTGCCTGTTGAATTGTCACAATTCTTATTCTTCGAAGAGAAAATAAGCCCTTCCAATAATCTGATAAATGCTAATCTTTTGCGCTTGGGTCAGTTACTCACTTATAATATTTAGTACTGGATAGCATCTTTGTAAGGTGTACATGTTCCTCAAACAGGTGGAATATACCCTTGAACTCTCTGTTTAAGGATCAGTGTTTTGTATTCAGGCTTAGGTCAGTTTCTTGTAAACTTTGAATAAAAGGTCAATTTTAGCCTACATATGCACTTGTGTTTTCTATTTTTTTACAAAATTTTGTTGTTATACTGTTTCTAACAAAATTAAGAAATGTTGTGCTTGAAAACAAGGGTGTAGTATAAAAAGATTTTAGCTTAAGTCTTTCAGAGTACTTTAAAAGAAAAAAAAGGGTTGTATACATTGTGCAGTTGTTTATTGTTAATAATATTTTGGTAGTGTGATCCTGCTGGGTGTCTGATAGAAGTCTGTATACAGCTTGGTATTATTATGGTGGGCAAGCAAGCTCTCAATAATTTCAAAGAAATTCTTTTACCGTAAGTATGTTTTTATTTAATTTTCATGGATAATTCAGTCAGAAAAAGTCATAAGAAATTTTGTTTACATTATATTTGATGTGAAGATAGCTTGAAATTCCTATTATTTTTGCCCGAAATTCTCAAACAGATGTTTTTGGGGAAAAAGATTTGATCTCTGCAATTGTTGTTATAACTATGGGGAAAAAAAGGTAGACAATAGAATAAAATTAATGTGCTATACATTTGATTGTGATATGCAGTAAAATTATTGTTATAAACTCATTTAACAATATATTTCACTTGTAAGATTTGGTTGTTATAAAAATCTCTTTAGAAATAATAAAACTTCTCTTGAAAGGTCTTTAACAATTTTTTAACCAGATTTATCAGGAGTCCTTGTATTATTTCAGAAAAATAATGGTATGGTTTAAATCAAGGAAAGCTAAGAATGAGGAGAAAAAAGAAGACATTGTTTATTCAAGATGGGAGCAGGATTATAATTTAGCTGATCAACCAAAGATGGGATTATTTGATGAATATTTGGAAATGGGTAATTACCTCAAAGTTTTTTATTGACAAATGATATTTTGGTCTAAAAATATCATACGGTCGCAGAACTGTTTTATTGTACAATTTGTATTTCCTACAGGTTTTTGTTCAAAAAATTTCTTAAACAGTTGCAAGTTCGAAATGTATTAAAATTTTTAATCAGGTAAAAAGGGAAGTCTACCAAATTTTTTGCATCATGATTTTTTTTTAACTTTATTATCGATGGTAGACTTCTTATTTTAAAGAACTATTGCGCTCAAGAATAAAGAAGTTGAAACATTGTAGTGAATAAATTTACAAATTCTCTCCTTGGTATATTCATACTTTCTATACTGTGTGTGATTTTCAAATTAAAGTATCAAATTGTTATAAAATTCAAAATGTATGGAATGCATTTCCCAAAAAAAGAAAAGTGATAAGTTGATTCAAATATACTAACAATAAAATAAGGTCAAGAACTGATCATTAAATGTCATAAAAAAAATTCTGTGTCACAATTTGACATAATTTTTTTGTGCAAAGTATAGAAAGAGAAAACATTATTGTGTTATTTTATTTATTCACTGAGTTGCCTTTACCAGATATTGAATGACACTTTTTCTCTTTTCAGTAAAATTCCTATAGCTGAATATAATGTATATACCAAGTATTTCTATTTCTGTAGCAACATTTTTTTCAAAAGGGATAAAGAAAATATTCTAAACTCAAGAGTACATAAATTCTCACATCAATAATTCTTAAGCTCTTGAAAATTGCATGACACTACTAAATTGAATTTGTCTCTCAAATCTGCATTTTCCTTTTGAGAATGTAACTATTAAGTTCCATTACTTTCATTATGACAAGTACATTTATCTATTTCCAGTGATCCAGTATGGATTTGTCACCATATTTGTAGCAGCTTTCCCATTAGCACCATTATTTGCCTTACTTAATAATATAATAGAAATAAGGTTGGATGCCTACAAGTTTGTTACTCAATGGAAGAGACCAATGGCAGCTAAAGCTCAGGATATTGGTGAGTGTGACGTGATGAAACTTCTTCTTGTAGAATGAGAGAAAATGAGATGAAATATCTAACCTATATTATACTTGAAAATATAAAAATTGCAGAGGAATATTGGTTTTAATGCTGTTCATCATCTTGTCAAAATTCTGTCAGAGTTTAAGATTCCAAACATCATATTGAGGTCTAATTCATCCCCATAATCAACTGAAGCAATGTTAGGTCATATTAGCTTATAATATGCACAGATGTGTTTTCAGTATATATAATATGTTATAGTGAATATTCAAAATGTCTGAATAATTTTTACTACAGACAAGTCAATTGTTGCCAAAAAAGTTTTAACACATTTACCAGGTACATACAGTTTAACTAGGTAACGTAAGTGGAAAATAATGTCTCCGCTGGGAATATGGATTGCTAATTTTAAAACAACAAACTGCTGAAAATTAAATTTGATAAAATAGTATAACTATGAGGCATTCATGTTGGTGTATATATATATATATATATATTAACATTAAATTCAGATGTTATCAGTAAATTCACAGCCTTGGTTTGAATAAGATAACACTGCTAAATTAGAAATTTATTGATTTAGCAATTTAATGTCTTTCAGTTATTTTGTGAGGATATAGTTTTTTAAAAAAAGTCACCAATCAACCAATTGAGCTGGCTGTTATTTGTAGCCCCTATTTTACCAGCTGTTCCATGTAAATCTGCTAATGGAAATTCAAGATTTAGAAAAAAACAGATTCATACCTGTAGTAAAGATGTAATTGAAAGGATATTTCATGATGTTAATATTTGATATTCAGAGGCCTTTCATAACTTTATACCTTACAGTATGGGTTTTGCTCATCATTTAAGACTGTACAGTAACCTGAAGTGTTTTATTCCTGTGTTGTATGGTGGATAGTTGTTGCATTGGCAATTATACCACATCTCTGTGATATTCCTTTATTGAATTTTTATATTATACATGTATCCATATCTGTAATAGAAATGTAATTAAAACTTTTTCACCTTTAGGTATTTGGTTTGGTATCTTGAGAGGTATTTCAGCTGTTGCAGTAATAACAAATGTAAGTAGTCAATCATTTTAAATAGTACTCAACCACCTCATTGTAGCATATTTGCCTCAAGTGGGGGTGATCCCAGGATTGAACTTGGCTGGGTCAAACCCAAGACTTTAAATTGGTATTTGCTGCTTCTCTGCTAAGCACGCAGCATTAAGGAGATAGAGCAAAGACTGGTTGGCTCAGAGTCAGAATAATGTGTCCTTGTTTAGTGACATGTCTTCCTGCTGAGTTTTACCTTGTGAACTAGCAAGTTAAATATCAGGCTCAGCATGTCAGTCTAGTATACAGCTGGGTTAAAATTCTTATTACATTAACATGTTCTCGTCCTGAATATGGATTTAATTTGCAGCTGGACAATAAGCAGCCAGCCATCATCATCTTATATTTTACTCAAGTGATATGTTCACAAATCACATGCATATACATATAGATATGGTTTATCTTATCTTGAACTTTTTTTTATAACATATATTACTAATGTGAAAGTGTTGGTTTGAAACCAAATAATTATAAAATATTGGATGCATAGAATTAAAAAAGAGTAAAAGAAATTTGCCTTTTTAGATTGTTTATATATACGAGTCTTGGATAAGATTTATAACTTTTCTGATAATAAATGTCTTTGATATTGTTACAATTTCTTGTTTAATGATAAAGGAGTTGATTGAAAGATTTTGATTTTGATTTTTTGTGTTTTAACGCCACTTTTAAGCACCGCTTTTGGGCTATTTCGTGGCGGCCAGTTTTTAATGGTGGAGGAAGCCGGAGTGCCTGGAGAAAACCACCGACCTTCGATAGGATAACTGACAATCCAAGTCAATTAAGATTGGAGTCGAGTGCACCTGCATGAGCAGGGTTTGAACTCACAACCTTAGTGTTGACTGGCTAGTGATTACAGTAGTAACTACCGAGGCCCCTTTGATTGAAAGACATATGATTTCAAATACAAACAGAAGACATTCTGGTCCTCATTTTTACATCTGAATGTTTGAAAAATAAGAACTCACACCTCCATTTTTGTAGTGATTTACTTTAAGTATCAGATTATGTTAACTTTACTTTCATCTATGGTGTAAAATTAAAGATACTGCATTTGATAGGTTTAAATTGTCTTAACATCATTAATGAAGGAAATTGTTGTTTTCTTTTCCTTGTGATAACAATTCATGAACATGATTTAATGGCTGTTTAGTTCTTGCACACTTACAGTAAGTAACTTTCAACAAAAAAATTAAACAATACAGAGAATGATTTGAAATTTTACAGGCAGCCATCATAGCCTTCACTGCAGAATTTATTCCAAAGATGGTCTACCGTTATGCACACAGTGAAAACGAATCATTAGAGGGATATATGAACTATTCTTTGTCTATCTTCAATGTTGCTGATTTCCAGAAAAAGAGTATACCAAGTGAAATTCCTCCAGAGTTAGGAAATGTGACACAATGCAGGTATAGTGTTATGTCATCTGTAGGAAATGTGACACAATGCAGGTATAGTGTTATGCAGGGCTTCCAAAACGGTCATATATTCCGGACTTGACCGAAACATTCATAAAATGACCGGCTGCTCTCAGCCTCAAACGGTCAAATAGAATTGGTGTGCCACATTTTGTTATTCAAGGCATTTTCATGAAACGGTCATTTCAATTTTTACCAACTATCGATCGATAAAAATGTCCGTTTGGGGCTTTGGGCATGTCCGTTTGGGCATTTTAGTTTATAATTGTGGCAATCTATTTCACAAAGATATTTCGGTCATAATTGGGTTTAATAAAACAGAAGCAGCATATTTCAGATACTTTGAAGTGTCTCAGTTAGTCTAATCCTCTGGGTACATAAATGTACGGCTTGGTCTTTAGCTTGTGTACATCAATAAAAAGTAGAAAAAACACGTTTTCTTTTATTTAAATAACACCAAGCTGTCAAACAATTATCCCTTCAATAAGTTATATTGAAGCCATAAATCATTCACTGATTACAGGTTTGTTACCTTTGATGAGGTGTCCTTAGCTTGTCTTTATCAATAGAATTAATGATGCATAACAATGTACATAAAGGTAATCAGGTAAACGAGGTCAAACATGTAAGCGTGTATGGAACAACATCCTATTTAATTACGATTTATAGATATTATTTTAAATGAGCATCCAGTTTAAAACAGTATCCTGATATTTAAAAGTTATTCTTCAAATAAGGATATTTATAAATGAATAAGTATGATATATATTATTTTATTTAACACTGTACATCGTGTTAAATACTGGGGTACTCTCAAGGGGAAAATTTACTAAAATATATAGGAAAAACACCGAGAATAGCTTCGCTTGGGTATACCAAGCTGAGTTGTCCAATAAATAAGGGGGGCGTTCTCTATTCTTGTTTTCATATTAAAAACTGTTTTTATAATTAAAATCATAAAGAATAATATCCAATCATGACAATCTCCGACTGTTATAAAGACTTTGTCTCAAATTGAACTTTACAAATCTGCCATCATGGGCAAACGTAAACGTGACGATTCCGATCAAAACTCGAAATCTGCTAAAAATGCTAGAAGCTTTATTCATAAATGGTTACAACTGTTTTTATGGTTAAGATTTGACAGTATGCTAAATGCCATGTTTTGTGACATTTGTCAAAAACATAAACTTAAAAATAACTTTGTAAAGCCTGGTTCGACAAATTTTCGAAAGTCAGCCGTTGTAGAGCATGCTAATAGCAATGACCACGTTCAAGCTCTTAAATTAGAGACAGCTTCCAAAAGTAATCCAATTGTATCAGTATTTGAGAAAGTTCATGAAAAGACTGACAACGCAATGTGCACCTTGTTCCGTAATGCTTACTTTATTGCTAAAGAAAACTTACCAATGGACAAATTTCAGTCAATAAATGATTTAACTAAGTTAAATGGTGCCGTGATCACTTCTAAATTATATCAAGAGAACAATGCCTGCTCCGAATTTATTCAGACAATTTCCGATGTTATAGAGAAAGAGGTGATGTCCGACGTAAAGTTAAGTCCCGCCGTGGGAATTATGATCGACGAGTCAACTGATCTGGCTACGCAAAAACATTTAATTTTGTACTTATCATACCTCAAAGCTGGTGAACTGAAAATTAGTTTTACAAAACTTTTGAACTTGTCTTCTGGTACCGCCGTGTCAATTACTGCACATATAATTGCCTATTTAAAGTCATTTGGTGTAGACTTGTCTAAAATATTCGGCATGGGGTCTGACGGTGCGTCGGTTATGATAGGAAAGCATGGAGGTGTATCTCAGCTTTTAAAAGACACTTCTCCACACTTAGTAGAGGTTCATTGCGTAGCTCACCGCCTAGCATTAGCCTGTGTCGACACGGCAAAAGAAATTCCGGACATTAAATTTTTAGAAAGCATTGTTAGCACTGTATATTCGTATTACAAACGTTCACCCACAAACCTTGCCGAACTACGATCATGGCAACTTATAATAGATGATCCGTTGTTAAATCCGCTTGATATTCATAAAGTCCGCTGGCTTTCTATGGGAAACGCTTTAGACAATCTCCGCCGTTCTGTTGTCTCCATTGTAAACATGTTAGGCGACCAGAGTGACACCGACATCGTGGCTAATTCTCTTCACAACAGTATGACAACATACAAGTTCTTTTTCATGCTCTACTTTTTATCCGACCTGTTTGGTAAAATTAATCAGCTCAGCAAATCACTTCAAAAACGTGACTTGTCTTATGCCACAGTGAAACAATTAGTTGACTCTTTTCTTATGGCAATAGAGGCCGAGTACTTAACCGAGATTCCTTCATTTGGACCATTATGTGCCGAATTTCTAAAATCAACAGACCAATCTGACAGCTTCAACACTATCACCTTTAAACGTAACAACCGTGACATTCATCTCAAGACAAGAGCCGTGCAATGTGCCCAATTGATACATGATAACATTCGTGACCGATTTCCAGACAACAAAATTTTCGAAGCATTCTCTGTATTTGAACCGTCGAACTTTCCAAGTAGTGTTGACGACCTTCCTCGCTACGGTGAACAACAGTTAGAGTGTCTCGGAGACCATTATAGTATAGTCAACCAAGAAGAACTACAAATAGAATGGGGCATACTTAAGTATTTGATCTTCAACAACTACAAGGGACTTTCGTTTGCCGATCTGTTGACTGCAATTATTTCAAGAAAAGACCAGTTCCCAAATACAATTTCGCTAATGGAAATTTCACGTGTTTTGCCGGTTTCTAGTGTTGAATGTGAAAGGGGTTTTTCAAGGCAGAACATTATCAAGACAAAGCTAAGGTGTAGTCTAGGTATTGACGCTTTAGATCAACTTATGAGGATAAGCTTAGTAGGTGTAGATGTTAAAGACTTTGACCCTGTTCCTGCTATCCGCAAATGGCAATCCGTTCGTAACCGCCATGTTTATCAGAACAATGCATTTAGCAAGCTCATGAATGTAAAATCTTAAATTAGACTAAATGAACTTCTAATCTTGTGCTGTGATCTGTGCTTCTTTTCAATGTGCTCATTGTAATATTTATTGCGTGTGTTTGTCAACATTGTGCTCTTCTGATATTTTATTGTTGTTATATGCTTACATAAAATATCATGTTGTTATTCATTAAATTATTTATCAACTGAGTATGTTTTTATTTATTCCTTATTTTCTAAATCAGGTTGGGAAATTGTACAAAGAAAAATGTTATCACTGTTCAGTAGATTTTACACGGTTTAAAACAATATCCTTCATTGGGCCTCCTCAATGTTATCTATAAATACCGCATCAGTTGTAAAAGTCACGTGGTCAGGTAATCAATACACAAAAAGAAAAGTATCACGTGTATTGATGATCAAGTTGTACTGCAATTAAAGCCAACATCAACAGTTTCAAATAAGATGGCCTTAATTTACAAAGTGTTAAGTACTCACAGAGAGAAGATAGATTATATAAACAGAAACAAAAACATGAGAACAGTCAGGTACTGAAGCTGATTGATGCAATGATGGTTACTGTATTACGATACACAGAAAAATGACACAATACCGAGGATAATATTTTATTTATTTTTAGAATGAAGAAAACAAAACAGTTATAAATAATTTTATTGCATATAACACTACTAATTATTTAGACACATATATCAATTTATGCATCCTCTCAGTTACATTTAAGTATCCAGCTGATCATTGACCGTCAAAAATATTTCTTTGAAAAATGTCCGGCTGACGTCAGGAAATTTTGGAAGCCCTGGTGTTATGTCATCTGTAGGAAATGTGACACAATGCAGGTATAGTGTTATGTCATCTGTAAACTGATCAAATAAGTCATACTAAGGGAGCTACCATTTGATTTTTATGGGGGGGGGGGGGGGGGGGGCTAGGATGAAAAATTTTGTCCTGCATTTTTTTTTTAGTTGTAATCTCTGTCCTACCTTTTTATTTTTCACTCTATTTTCGGTCCTGCCTTTTTTTTAATTAGTTTATCCTGATTTTTTTTTACATAAATTGTCATCCTGCCCTTTTTTTTGCCAAGTTGCTCATCCTGCCTTTTTTTTACTCAGAACTCCTGTCCTGCCTTTTTTTCAAATTTCATCCCCCCCCCCCCCATAAAATTCAAATGTTAACTCCCTAATTTGTTGGTCTCAAGGTTTCACTCTTGCCTTAAGTATAGAGGGTCTAAGGTTGGGATCCCCAGCCCTTTCAAACCAGACTTTTAAACTTGTTATTTGCTACTTTTCTGGAAAAAAACATGGCACTTAGGAGCAAATAGTATTTCTTTATTAAAAAGTTTTACAAATTGGAGATTCTTTCATTCTTCCATATATGGGGGCCTCTGTGGCCAAGTGGTCTAAGTAGATCTACTACTGTATCACTAGCCTGTTAACATTGAGGTCGTGAGATCAAAGCCAGCACTTGGCAGGTGCATTTGACTCCAATCTGAAATGACTAGGATTGTCATTTTTCTGCTGAAGGCTGTGGGTTCTCTCCAGGCACTCTCACATCCTCCACCAATGAAAACTGACCGCCATTATATAATCAATAGTGTTGACAGTGGCATTAAACACCAACAATCAATCCTCCATGTATGATTTACTTACCAATCAGGAGTGAATGTTAATTTATTTAAAATTTTACAGAACTATGTTTCTTTGAACATAATCAAATAATTTGAATATGATATGCTTTGTTGTTTGCTGTATAGATGATTCAGCTTTCAATGATTGCATGTGTTTTTTAGGATTACACATTAAGATTCATTGCTACCAATAAATCATATCAATCAAACATCATCATGGGTCTTTCTATTTTTATATTTCTATTTTTAGGTTCCGTGGATTTTATGAACCTGCTGGACCAGGCGAATACCAGTTTACCATGGCCTATTGGGAAGTTTTAGCAGCTAGACTGGCTTTTATTGTGGTGTTTGAGGTAGGTTAACAATTTATGGAAGTTTTAGCAGCTAGACTGACTTTTATTGTGGTGTTTAAGGTAGGTTAACAACTTAGGGAAGTTTTAGCAGATAGACTGACTTTTAGTGTGGTGTTTGAGGTAGGTTAACAACTTTGTGAAGTTTGAATGTAGAGTAGAAATAAAAGGGATACAAGTCAATATCCTGGATGATTGTGCTATCTTGATAACTCAGACTCAGTTTTTTTTATTTAACTGTCAACATTTAATCCCCTACAGTGCCAAAATAATACTTAAATTGCAAATTCATTTTTCAGCATATCAGAATGAGAACACATGGGTATTTTATCAATCAATAGGATAGGGCAAGAGTGATGTCCTTAAAAGAGGGTGGAGCAGTTATAATTAGATTGTCAAATTTTTCAAAGCACATATTGAGTAGGTTTACAAATGTTGTCTTACAAAAGTTTTTGTGATGGAAATTTATGATGAGGATATTATTATTTTTTTCTTCAGAATTTGGTGGTGTTTTTAACATGGCTTGTGATGTACCTTGTGCCAGATATACCATATAAGGTTAAAATGCAGATGTTGAGAGAGAACTTCCTGTCCAAAGAAGCTCTGTATCGGGCAGAGTCAATCAAGTTGAGCCCAATGCGAGGTGGAGGAGGGTCTGAGAATGGTGCAAATGTAACAGACAGAACTATTTTCTGATGAATTTTGTGAATTTACATCAGTTGTCTTTATTATATAGTATTTCTTTGCCATAGGAAAACCATTGGGATTTTATATTCATTTGAGATCTTTGTTATATAGTATCTTCCTAAAATAATTGAAACTAACCAAAATAGATTTTTTAACAATCTATTAATGCATAATTTTCCATGGGTAATATTATAAAATAAGTTTCCTGCCAAATTGAGAGCATACTGTATTTTGCAATTGCCTTTAAATCTTAAAATATTTGATATAGTATTTCACATTGATAAGCTGCTATAGAGTATATACAACCCTTGCGTAAAAAATTGATTTGTCAGGAAATTATGTAACAAATTTTTCATAGAAAGAATTGTATTATAGTAGTTAAAAACATGCTTGATACTTAAGTTAAATAATGATTTCTTATAATGATCACAGAAATACTATGAAAACAAGTAAACAGGGTCATAACATAGTTCCACTTTGCTTTGAATTAAGTAAATTTAGCTATATTTGTAAATACATACATATTCTTTTATATTTTATATATTGTACAAGGAAAAAAAAAATATTGATACTTTTATGACATTATGAAATAACAGTCAATCAGCGTGAGAACATGGTGCTGATAGTTTTCTTTTTTTTTTTTAGAGAAAAAATATCTTCTCAATGATGAACCATGTGTTTTTCAGTTTTGCCATCAAATATCTCCAACTTAATTATTTTATGTGAAAAAATCCAGGAGGCGAAACATAAATTTAATATTTACCTCATCTAGTTATTAAGAAGATAATTTATATAGAAAAATATAAATTTAACATTTACAGGGCAAGTATATAAATGATAAACACAGTAATTTGTTTCTTCATATAATCATTTAACATTTTGTGCCATCTTTTTCTATAAAGCTCAATATCTCTTACTGCTTCCATCGTCATTTATTTATTGTATTATACTGGAAAAGCAGGGAAATTTTGCAAAGGATTTATTGTTCATAAATATCATGATATAATAAAAGATATTTTCGTGAAATCAAAAATTGCCACCAGCTTTGGCATTAGAAATCACGAAATTAAAATTTGTAAAATAAACCATTTGACACTAGTTCCTTTGAAATGACATGTTTTGCTATCAATTTTTTTAAATGTAAATGTGAGTTTATAAGATGTTCAGTAGTTAGATGTATATACCTGTATAGTAGAACTTTTTATTGAATGATGTGATTGTCCATTCTTGTCAGATGTGAATGTTTTGGGTATTTTTTCTTTCTCCACTTAGTAAAATAGGTAATTTTCAAAATTTGAATTGGTTAAACATTATAACATAGATGAAAAAATACTTTAAAATTTTTTTTTTTACCTGTTTGATAATATTAAAATACAGTGGTAGTATGACAGAATAAAAAACTAAATATTATTGAGAAGAATATTTTTCATCTTAAAGATGTTATAGTGCTTTGGAAAAAATATCATAGTTTACTATGATGGTGCATAATGTTTGTTTATATATAAGGTTGTTTGCTATATCTTAATGTACATACTGTCGTGTTCTAGTCTATCTATTTAATGTAACCATGTGTGTAAAATACATTTCTCATTACAAATATATGTCTTGTATGATGTAATTGTGTAATGTTAAACATGTGCAGTGTTTATTTATTTTTGTTGAAATTTTTTATATTTCAGTACAGCTAAAGTTCTGTTTTCAACAAGATTCATTTTAACCGGATTTTTTTGAATTCATTGACTTTTCTTATACCAGTCTGGTACAGTGTTTAAATATATTATCAAAATATCTTATTTTATATAAAGTAAGAAGATGATAAATTTATAAAACATTTTGTAGAATTAATAATAATGGCCTTATGATCATCAAATTGCCTTATGGAGGGGCGGTAGGAGGGGGTGTCATCCTGAATTCCCAAAGAAATAAACCATTCTTTCCCAGATCCCCAAAAATTAATCATTATTTCCCTAGTCCAGATAATGGTCAATTCCTAATTCCCGCAAAAATTACAGCCCTTATTCCGAAGTCCCGAAAAAGGTCCTTCTGCACCTGTTTATGGAATCTTCAAAGTTCAGCTTTTGTTTGATGTGAAGTTATTTTCTTTTAATGAACTTTATGCCATGCTGTGACCTTCACCTGTTTATTTACACAATATGGGATATAGTCTTACACACATACACACCATTTTTTTTAAATTTTCATTAGTAAACTATAAAGTGGAATATAACTTAGTATAGATATTTGTACACATATTTATTAGGTACACTTTGGGATTAATTGGTTGCACACGTATATTATGTACTGTACAAATTATATCTACTTTATTATACAAGTGTTTGAATATTTTCACAAAATTTGGTCAGGAATAAGTATCCAGAATCCTATGCCCAATGGTAGATCCTCGGTATTTCTCAGGGAAAAGAGGACACCATTGGATAAAAGATGTTTTCTTTTTATACATTAGCTGTTCAATGAAAGCTCTGTTATCTGATTTTGTACTTGTCATTAATGGAGGCATTGGTGTCATACTAACACAGCTAGTTTTGGAATAATTTATACAGTATATTTGTAGAGACATAATTGAAGTAGATTTAGTCTAAATATTTATTCTATGCCTTCACATTCATAAAACCTTGTGATCTGACAAAATTATTTTTTGAACCATTCTTTTCATGGTGCAGCTACAAATGTTTGTACTCTCAGCAAGAAGAAAAAGGTTTGGCATTGTTTGGAATGAATTAACAAAACTATTTGTGCAGATAGATTGGATGGCATTGATACACTATGTTGTAATCCTAACATTTGATTATGTTTTTTAAGTACTGAGAAGCATTAGACTTTCAGTTGAACAAAATAAATTGGACATTATTTTTTTTATGAAGTAGTTATGTGCAATTATGTGTTTCTTCGCACTTGTTTTTGGTTGTTGATTATTTATTACAATTTTCATACTTTATGTTCTATGTATTATCTGTTATATTTTCCCCTTTCATGTTTAAAATATCAGAACCACAGTATGATCAAACAGAAAGTATTTTTTAACAGACTTAACACTTGCAGATATAGTTTGGGTAGAACTTACAAAACATCAATTTAGAATTACATATGCTTTATCAAGGTTTTAGTTCTTAAAAATAATTCTGCCAGTTTAAATCAGTTAAAGATTATCTTTCATTTATTGGGCCATAAATGATCAAAGTGACCTTGATATATATAATGTGCTATTTTGTTATTTATTTAATCAAATAAAATATTTTTCTGAAAGATATTATTTCCGTTTCCTTTCTTTTCAACCATCATTTTATTCTACATTTATGTAACTTTTTAATCTGCCAAATAGTAACACTCTAAAATTAGTGTTTTATCTCTTTCCCCCTTAATGTTTAGTCACTGTACCAAATCAGGCTATCAGAACAATGTGTTGTTTGTTGTTGCCTTTCTTTGTACATCTCATTTTTTTTTCTCGTGGCAGCCAGGAATTTATTGGTGGTGCTGTTAAATATTTTTCACAATTCCATATATAACTTATTAAGTGAAATATGCTCTTAATTGGATTTCTGCTTTAATATTTGTTTAAAGTTGACAGCTTAAGTTTATCCCACCAGAGACTTGTTTCAGATATCTATATTACTAAATGAATAGAGTTGAAATTGGGTGTCTCGTTTTCTTCTTTCACATAAAATCCACGAATATTGTTTTATACCACAAAGGGGTAATGACCAGCGTAGTTTATTATGTGCTTCAGCTGGCCCCTAAACAAAAAATGTAGTCGACTATAAAAGGCCCCGCCATGGAAAATATTTAACAATTCAATTGAGAAAACTAGGCCTGATATATAACAAAACAATTTACGAAAAACAAATATGACAGACATGAAACAATGAAAACCACTGAAATACAGGCTCCTGACAGGCACATAAAGAATGTGGCGGGGTTAAACATGTTTGTGAGCGCTCAACCCTCCCCTAACCTGGAACAGTGTTATAACAGTACAACATAAGAGCAAACTATCAAAATCAGTTGAAAAAGGCTTAACTCATCAGATGGATACAAATAGAAATACATCTAACAAAACACAGAGTTGACCTGGACGGGTACTTAAACATCCCTTTGCTGTACATCGCAAAACCTTTAAGAAATTTGGGTCCTCAATGCTCTTCAACTTCGTGCTTATTTACTTTTTTTGATTCGAGCATCACTGATGAGTCTTTAGTAGTCGAAACGTGCGTCTGACGTACAAAATTATAATCCTGGTAACTTTGATGATAAGTTTTTGCATTTAATAGTGATACTATATCTACAAATGTCCAAATTATTTTTCTCACTTGGTATTCTTATTGCAACTTTCGATGCTGTTGTATAATTGACCATTTCCAGCATAGAATGAAAAACGCATGCTTATCTTTTTTATGCTTTTGTAAGGTGACCAACATGGTTACCAAAGAGTAGCTAAATACCCTTTGGAATCTCAACCTTTGTGTCGGATAAGATAATCTGAAACTGTAATTTACCGAGGTTAAATGTAGGATAACTGAAACAATCTGTGTTGGTCAAGTAAGCACGATGGAGGGTACCAATCATTCATTTATCAGTTATTTGATATTGACATGATATGAATGATACAAGTTGAATAATTTGTCGATTTTAGATTTTATTTACAAAACAATTTATTAAAACAAGAGGCAAACAGTTGAAATACATTGTGCAAAGTTAAACAAGGTAGAACTACCATTGTGCATAATATACAACATAGTAAGATTACAGCTGGTCTTATCAAAATTGTTGTAAACTGGAAGTATAGACAGTTTGTAAGTTCATTGTCAAAAATACTTAGCAATTTTTCTTAGAAAGATCTTTTGATATTGCATTGTGAAATTATTCTTTTTATTTTTTCATACCTAGATTTTCTCTTTAAATAGTCTGCTACATATTTCTCTCAAAAATATTTTCTTCACAAATATAAAATTAATGAAATTATTCTGTAGATTGATTGGTATAGAAAATTTTATTTGCATGTCAATGTGAATTTTGAAGGGAAGATTAGTTTATTAATTAAAATATAATTATTCATAATATAATAAACAACTTAAAAGTCATAAATCAATTAAGCGAAAAATAAATCCGTGTAACAAACAAAAAACGAAGGAAACACATCAAAGAGAGACGCCTTCATCATTCCTAAAATCAGATTTTGTATTTCATTTAATTTTGTAATGAATCACTATTTTCCGCTAGTTCTGATATCATATTTAATTTAAGTTTTATAACATAAATATCCTCATTAGTCATTAATAATAAACATTTATTAACTGCAGAAACAAACGAAAATTAGTATATGTATTGTAAGATCATTGATTAATGGTTTGTTTACAATTAACATGAGCATGACTGTCTGATAAAAAATGCAATTCTTCTTTTGATGTTTCTTAACAAAAGTAGCATTTTCTGTCATGAATTTTTTAAATTCATGTCACTATCCCTTTCTTTATTGGGGTGATGATCATGTTTTACATGTGATTTGCCTTGGACCTTTATCATCTTTCTAATATATAGTATCAAGAGTCCATTACTAGTTATGGACTTCTGATAATATGAATATTTGTTTGTTCAGAACGTAGAAACACATAGATGTATAAATGTTCACTTATTTGTCACGTGGCCTTATTCAAAAGTTGTCTAATTGACAACGATCACGGGCACAGGATGTTTGCGCATGTTTACCTGTAACACGAATGGACATTTGCACTTCAAATCCTATGGACATTTGAGCTTTAAATTTTGACGTACCTGTATTGAATTGACAGAACATCTGCGCTTTAACCTATACACATTTAATGAGTTGTAATAATTACGCAGATTAAAATCCACTTGTAGCTTTAACCTAAACAAATTTAATGAGTTGTAACAATTAATATGCAGATTAAACCAACTTGTATGGGTACCATTCATCGATTCAAAAACGGAAACTTCATTACTTCTGTGTTCCTTCTAACGTGTCTACATATTTGTAAATCCCTGGCTTTCAAATGTATTTGTTTGATCATTCCTGATGAAAGTAAATCCAGTAAAGAGCTTCAAACACACGAAATGCATAACGTGTTTATTATACCGTTTACAGTTCTTGTTGACTTTAAAGATAGAATCATGATTGTTATTAGGAATTTATCTGTATTTGTTGTTGTCATTTTCATTAAAACAAGCATAGAGGCGAAATATTCAGTCAAAAAGATTCTCTGAGGAATACAAATTGTACATTGTGAAGTAAGAAAGTGGTTATATAAATTTCTTCCAGGGTGGGTAAATGAGGAGGGAAATCATCAAGCCCAATACGAAAATGTTATGTTGATTAAGCGCAAATGTTCTGTAGATGAAGCGAAAATGTCAACTTAAAAAAGTGCAAATGTTCTATAAAACAGCGCAAACGTCCCGTGTCATCACACAGGTACTCAATTTTATATATAAAATTTTTTTTTTAAATTGAAATAACAAAAATACCGAACTCCTCAAAAATTTAAAACGGAAAGTCCCTTAACAAATGGCAAAATCAAAAACTCAAACTCATCAAACGAATGCAAAACAACAATCATATTTCTGATTTGGTACAGGCATTTCCTTATGTCGAAAATCGTGGATTAAACGTGGCTTTATAGCTAGCTAAACCTGTCACTTGTATGACAGTCGCATAAAGTTCCATTACATTAACAACAATGTGTGAGAAAAAGAGACATAATAAGTAAAAATGTCAAAAATTGGAGTACAGCAGTCAACAGTGTGTTATAATCATAAAGTGCATAAAGCAGCAAAATATTAAGTCATGACAAACGATCTGCACTGACAGGGTTCATAACTTAGTTCGTTTACGGTGAAGTATGTATGTTTTTGTTAAACTAACGTTTCAGTAGTAAACCCACGTTCAAAGTGTTATGCTTTATGTTGTTTTGTTGTGAACAGAGAAATCATGCCATTTTCCGTAGATTAGAACAGGAGGAGAAAATAAGTCAAGGAATAAAAGTGTGTCTTTCAGTATTTCTAAGTCATGCGCACACAGTGCGTTCGATTGGACAACACAACTTTCATATATGCGATACCATGTAAGTCTGATGCTTAAATGTATCAGTTAGGACTACTGTTCCATTCCCTAACCAAGGTCAATGATTGATTTATCATAGATTTTAAATATCCAAATGCAGCATTGCGACGTGATGGTTTTGTTTTCAGTGAACGCAGTATGTATTTCGTTGCTTTTCTATAGTAACCTGATTTTTTGTTGCAGTAAGCCACAACGTTGTAAAACAAAACACTGTTTTCGTCAACAGTTGCTTCCTTTGCCGTCAAATAATTGAGTTTTGTCAGAACTTCATGGCATAATTTTCTTCTTCCTATTGCCTCGTAACAGAGATACTGTAATAGGTAACAATTTAGAAGAGGATGTATGCGTATTGCTGGAACATCATCGTAGTTAGGATATGGACATTTGTCATCATAAAATGTCTTCAATTTTTCAGGAACTGATAAAAGTTCATATTTTAGAACATCTGGAACAGCCCACATTTCCGCCGTCATATATGTAACCCTAAAATGGGGTTTAATAAACATGCCGTTCTTAAATTCACTTAAAATATAGTAGTACTCCAATGGTAATCCGTTCTGTATATCTATGGAATAGCACGCGTCTAAAATCGCTTCTTTTAGTTTCCTTAAAGGCTCAGTTTTCATAGATAGTAACAACATTAGCAAATGGTTGTAACTTTTATATACTTTGTCCCATAAACGTTTTGGTGGAGTTACATCAATTATCTGTCTCGGTATATCTGAGCATACTTCAATAGCACTTTCAAACTTACGTTCCATAAAGAAAAATGAGGCTAAGCGCAAAAGTATACATGACCTTGGAGACGTTCTCGTGAGATCGAGGTATTTGATCGCTTCATCTAAAATATATTTTTGTAGCGGGATTTGCCTATACAAAGAATAGGATAACAAACCAATGATACTACTGACTATAACTGTATATTCACTCTTAAATACGGTTTTTCGTTTGTACTTTTCTATCTTATTCAAGACATCTTTGTATTTTTGTATGCTTTCAAGTGATGGATACCGGTCATATTTTAACCAAAAGTACTGATACGCTGTAAAATCAAAATATAATCTGCTGATTTTGTCATACCAACATTGAAGTATTATTGATTTTTCTGTAACTTTCTCCAACAATTCTGGACAAAAGTTCCTTGAACATCCTTGCAATGTTTCAAAGCTTTTCAGATACAAAATATTCATGATATTGTTTTTAAAATTATGTAGTTCAACTTGTAAAGATGTAGAAAGAATAGGCGTTAATTTTGAATTAAACAAATTTCTTTCTTCGATAATGTAATGTGGCATATATCGTTCCCTTAGAAATTTGATAAGTTTCTGTATACAACTCTGCAAGCAACCAATCAAGTTTGAAGGACTCCAATTTAAGTTTTCTTTTTCAGCACACCAAAATATTAAATTTTTCAAGCAATAGGAAGACAAAATGTCCTTTTGATTATCACTTTGATACAATGGCCTTATGTGATCCTTCATTACTATTTTTAACATTATGTAACAGTATATTTGGACATTGTTAAGATCTTCAAACAAAACGTTCTCACCTCTCATAGATAAACGCCACTGAATGGTCTTGTTACTGCTATCAAAATGACCAACTGGGGCTAACAAGCATTTTTCAGCTTTGACCTGTTCTATAATTTGTTTTGGAGGCCAATCAGTGTCTTTAGAACGATTAATCCAAGCGTTTGCACAAGATGGCCAGTAATCATACCTAAGACAGGTCACATTATCGCTGACGAGTGTTTGGGAGGAGAGAACATTGTCCCAGCATATTTCTGTTAAAGCAGGTCCATTTGGTTCAAACTTATTGGTAATGTCTCTTGTAATATTAAGATCTTCTGCAAGGTGTTGTCGGACAACTTTATACGCACATTCATTTGGCAGAAAAAATGTTTTTAATTCAATTTCTTCGTTATCAATATACAGATTGACACCTGGAAGCAACATAATATGCATATAACCTGGAAATTCCCTGTCATGTAATGCAGAACAAATGGCATGCTCTTTTAATTCTTTAGATAAATTTTCCAAGAAATCATTGTCATATACTTTTAGTTCTGGAAAAAATGGTAATATTACATCTAAATCACTTTGCTCCCCTGAGTGATAAAACCCACCAGCTATACCTTCTGCCTTACTGCCCACATATATGGTATCTTCAACATCACATAGTTGCTTGCTTACAAAATCATGAAAATCATGGCGATTCTTATTAAACTTTATTTCGGTTGGTGAAAATCCAGCAGCATCTAAGATACTTTTCAGCAGAAGAGATTTTGTTTTAACAGAATCATCAACAGAATACTCTACAAAGAAGAAGAAATACAATTGTATATGAGAACCACAAACGACCCTAAAATTAACAGAACAGTATTTAATTTGAACAGAACTCTTGAAGTTGTATAACAATTACTATTGGTACACTGGTATTGGTAGAAATATTAATCGGTACTATTTTGTTCACCAAACATGCATTTCTACATTAATGTATTTATATTAAATCATTAATTCCAGATTTGAATTGTGTTCCGGATCCTGTCGTGGCTAGATTTCAGTTGAATGATATTTCTCATTCATCTTTCTTTAATCTTGTTATTGATAAATTATAAAAATAAGAGTTTATAAATTTCATGCGTCTGAAGCGCTTTTCTAGGTTTACCTTCATCAGGAGCGCTCAAAGCCAAAATGTGTAAGTCAATGATGTATAAGTGCCGGAGTGACACATTTGTCCACGGGTTATTTTATGCAAGCTTCTAATCATTGCTGTATCTCTTTCAAATTAAGGACCGAAGATTAAATAGAGTGATATTTTTCTACAATGGGTCCCAAATGTAACGGTCATTAGGGCGTGACGTCATCTATCGGATGACGTCATTGTTTGGCTTTTGACGTCACAGACGTCGAGCTATCGTATTATCTGGAACACGAAATGCAATTTTTAAAAAACTACCGGCAGCAAGAGGATTTAACTCAGTGTAAGGATATGTACTGCACATCATAGAAAAACAAATCTTAGTAGATTTGACGAGTAAGTGCGTAGATTGAACTTACTTTCATTTGATAATTTGACTTACATCTAGAAATTGAAAACGATGGTCAGTTGAGAACAGATATAGCAACTAAAGAAATGAATTCAGCTGCCTTATTTGAACCTTCTATGTCTATACATTACAGCAGCATCAGCATAAGGAGAATATATCTGCCAGATTATACGGTATTTCAGAGCGTGCATTTTCTATCATGATTCCCAAGTAGGGTTTTAAACCAAGTGGTGAAGTGGAAGTCATCACTTCGAAAAGTTTACGGACGCAATCACATTGTTGTTTAACCATTATACACTAAGGCAACAGTAGTATACCGCTTTTTAATAGTCATAAAAAGACTATTTGATAACAACAGCCATATTCCTGACTTGGTACAGGACATTTTAAGAAAAACATGGTGGGTTGAACCTAGTTTTATGGCTAGCAAAACCTCCCACTTATACGGCAATGTTAAAAATACTGCTAAAATGATATCATTACGTGACAGGAATACAGTAAAAATAAACGCAAGAACACTCAGGACAGAGAAATACATAAATAAATAATATCATAGTATATTACGACATGTAAACCACACGAATGTATCAACGCCACAAAAAGTGACGTCACAGGTAAATTTCTAAAATTAGTATATAACATTGGGATTAAGTTTGTAATATATGCAATATCTGTTTCACTGATGACGACGGATATGTTCCTATGGTTGTAACAATAATTCCGTCCACTTTTCATCGAATGTGACCTACCGAATTAGACTTATCACCGGGTTTGTACGTAAATTAACAACACGACGGGTGCCTTATGTGCAGCAGGATCTGCTAACCATTCCGAAGCACTTGATTTTTGCCCGTATTGTTTAAAAGGGGTTTGTTGTTCTTTTGTTCTCAGCAAACCAGTTTAACACCGCTTCTTTCTGTGTGTTTATGAGGAGCCTGTAGTTCTGTGGTTGTCGTTGGTTTAAGTCTGTCATATTTGTTTTTCGTAAATTGATTTGTTGTAAATTAGGCCGTTTGTTTTTTCAACTGAATTGTTTCATGTCGGTGTCTTTTTTAGCGACTATATGATATTGGGATTTCTCATTGTTCAAGGCTGTACGGTTGCCTATAATTGCTTACACTGGCAATCATACCACATGTCCTTATTTTTATATTGTCTATCCTTTGTCATGAAAAAAATGCTTCAATTTCAAAATGTCATATTCTGTTAAGTTTCAAAATAAGAAAATGTATTTGACGGATTGTTTATGAATTTGGTGATGTCTTATGGTTAGATAAGAATCAATTACCAATCCGCTATTGCGTGTTGCCTAATCACTTTACCAATATATTTAAGAGGAGCAACACGGCAGGTTTCACATGTAGAGCAGGATCTGCTTACGCATCAGGAGCACCTGAGATATCCCCTGTTTTTGGTTTTGTTCGTGTTGTTCAGTCTTTAGTTTTCTATGTTGTTTTTTTGTGGACTGTTGTTTCGCTTTTAGTCGTTATTCGTTTATTATCATGGCCTTGTTAGTCTATTTTCGACTTATTTGTTTGAATATCCTCGCCTTTCGCAACTCATTAAAAACTTGTCCTGTTCATTATTTCTAATGATAAGTATAAGTTCAATCTAATAATACTATATATTCTAGTTATCAAAATTAGTTTTTCCATTATATGTATATATCATCCTTGACAATTTAAACCTGCATACATAAGAATAAAAATAAATAAGAAAGTAAAGTAATTCGTTTTCAGTATTCTTACTATCCGAATACAGCGAAATAGCTATAAGTATATAAAGTAATCTCAATTTTCTAAATATAAGGTATTCACATTACTTTATATTTCTAAATCATATTTAAAAAAAAAATATTTTCAATTTTTATTAAAATTAATATGCACACAGTAGAAATATAAATAAATAGGTAAACTCACCATAAATAGCAGGCTTAACATTTTGTACGCCAGACGCGCGTTTCGTCTTAAAAAATTCTCACCCGTGACGCTCGATTCAGAAAAATAAAAAAAAAAGTCCAAATAAAGTACGAAAGATTAGATCATTAAGGATCCAAATTTTCGAAAGGATTTGCAAAATACATGAAAAAAAGATAATCTATTCCTTGGGAAGAAAATCCTTGATACATCGAAAATTCAAAGTTTTGTTAACAGTTAATTTATAATTATGACAATATCAATAATAATTCATGACAACACAGAGACAACTAGTTCAATGAAATGTGTTTTTCTTTATTGAATTGAGGTTGTTTTTCATGAAAGTAAACTTATCATAGATCAAGACTAAAAATATGTACGACAGACGCGCGTTTCGTCTCAAAACGACTCATCACTGACGCTCGGATCGATGATTTAGAGCTCCTGCAGTAAATCTGAACCAAACAGACACGTAACGTTTCGTAAATTCACCAGAGAAAACTCTGAAGCTGACTTTCCTAGTTAAATAACACCAACGTAAGATACGAAGATGAGAGACCTCTATAACTTAACATGTCGAACAAAACGATAGATCTATTATGAAAAAGTCACAATAACCAAGTTATTTAAAAATTTCTATTAACAATATATACTAATAATCCATAATTTTTAGGTTTATAATTCATTTGTTTCTTCTTCTATACTTACCCATGAATATTATTGTGTCCTTTTGCTGTGACTGTCTCTGGTCTTTATCAAAAGAAAAATATCTCTTGTAAATATGACTGTAAAGACATAAAACAACGAATTAATATTTTAGATTTTGCTTTTCATTGATTGCTATTGTCAATTACATAACTATAAATGAAATTGAGAATGAAAATGGGGGATGTGTCAAAGAGACAATAACCCGACCAAAGCAGAAAACAACAGAAGGTCACCAATAGGTCTTCGACATGGCGAGAAAATCCCGCACCCAGAGGTGGCTTCAGCTAGCCCCTAAACAAAATTGTGTACTATTTCATTGAAAATGGACGCCACACTAAACTCCAAAACATATAAATGAACTAAAATATTAAAAAAAACATACAAGATTAACAAAGGCTAGAGGCTCCTGACTTAGGATAGGCGCAATAATGCAGCGGGGTTAAACATGTTTTGTGAGATCTCAACCTTCCCCCTATACCTCTAGTCAATGTAGAATAAACAAACACACAGAAATACGCACAGTAAAACTCATCTTAAAAGAAGTCCGAGTCCGATGTCAGAAAAGGTAACAAAAGAAACTAAGCAAAATGAAAATCATACATAAATCAACAAAGGACTACTAGCAGTTATTGACATGCCATCTCCAGACCCCAATTAAACTGATTGAAAGATTGTGTCTTCATCATATGAAAATCAAGCACAGTCCCTCCCATTATGGGTTTAGTATCGTACCATCGTAAAATATATGAGAAGAACATAACCCGTATCATGCCAACAACTGCTTTTAGAATAAATGTGGTTATTTTCGATGCAAAGACCCTATGAAAAATCAATATTAATACCAAAATATGCCATCTCTAATGACCTGACAACAGTATCGTAACTATATCCTTCTGAAAAATTAGATATAAGAAGATGTGGTATGAGTGCCAATGAGTCAACTCTCCATCCAGGTCACAATTTGAATAAGTCTGTTTACTACCACATTTTATATTAATTAGTATTGTAATTTTCATTGTTATTAATAAATGTTATATGAGTATTTTAAACCAAATCTTGAATTCTATCCTAATTCTATCCTATTTTGGGGAAATTTCAGAAATTCAAATGTGACGTACCCCTTTTTTTGCGTTGATCTCTTTGGCTAACTCGGCTGTGAATTCTTATGTTTATATTGTTTTATGTATCCGATTTTATTCTGTAGTTAGTCACCACTTCGGTGTTATCATGTTTATCCATTATATAGTCATTTGTATAAATTTACTGTTTGCAAAAGTATGAATTATTCTAAATACTAAGGATTTTCTTATCCCAGACATATAACCTTAGCCGTATTTGGCACAATTTTTTGGAACTTTTGGTCCTCAATGCTCTTCAACTTTGTACTTGTTTTGGTATCGAACTTTTTTTTTATCTGAGCGTCACTGGTTAGTCTTGTGTGGACGAAACGCGCGTCTTAAATTTTAAACCTGGTACCTTTTGTTAGCTATTTTTCGTATGTTTCTCTGTCCTATATGTTCTCCCATTTATTTGTATTGTAGTCCTGTCATGTAATGTTGTCATTTTAATGTTATATTTAACATTGCCATAAAAGCGGGAGGTTTGGATAGCCACAAAACCAGGTTCAACCCACCATTTTTTTCTTAAAATGTCCTGTACCAAGTCAGGAAAATGGCCACTGTTATATTATAGTTCGTTTCTGTGTGTGTTACATTATAATGTTGTGTTTCTGTTGTGTCGTCAGTTTTAGTTTGTAACCCGGATTTGTTTTTTCTCAAACCGATTTATGAATTTCGAACAGCGGTATACTACTGTTGCCTTTATTTAAAGGTTTGGTTAGCTTTTGAGGTGAATGCTGTTCATTTTTAGTGTTTTGTATAGAATGTTACCATAAAAGATTGGATGTGAAATACCTGAACGTATAAGATGTCTGCATGTTGAACTACATTTAAGAATGATGTCCTTGTACCGATGATACAATTTAGTAAATGTTTTGACTAGTTTGTGATATCGAAAACCCGGGTGCATGTAATAAATTTTTAGTAATACAGAGATTTCTTTCGTTAAAATCAAACACGTTGTTACATACAACACGAGCGAATCGAACAAGTGGAGTTATATAAACATAATAAGATGGTGACAAGGGAACGTCACCATTTAAAAATAGATAATTACAATAGGAAATGAAAAATCATCTCTTTTATCATAAATTTTGGTATTAAGCTTCCCGGTTAAGATATAGATATCAAGATCAATGAAAGGGCAGTGTTCATTGTTAGTATTAATTTAATTTTGAAGTCAGTTCAGCAGGATAAATCTCTTTAGTGTATATACTAAAGTCGTCATTATTGAAAGCCAATACGGTATATCATCCAAATATCTTAAAGTGTTATTTAGTTTATGTATCAGATGTTTATTCGATGGGTCTTTGCTGATTTAAATCATAAATTGTAACTCATAACAATACAGAAACAACTTAGCAATAAGTGGTGCACAGTTAGTCCCCATTGAAATTCCGATAACTTGACGATATATGGAATCTCTATAGCGAACAAAAATTTTATCTAGTAAAAATTCAAGGGCAGTGTTATTTATTGTATTAAAGCAGTCCAACTGACATAGTTCTTTTGTTTGTTGTTACTTGAAAATGACCTAAAAAGCTAAATCACAAAAATACTGAACTCCGAGGAAAATCCAAAACGGAAAGTCCCTAATCAAATGGCAAAATCAAAAGCACAAACACATCAAACGAATGGACAACAACTGTCATACTCCTGACTTGGTACAGGCATTTTCTTATGTAGAAAATGGTGGATTGAACCTGCTTTTATAGCGCTAAACCTCTCACTTGTATGACAGTCGCATCAAATTCCATTATATTGACAACGATGCGTGAATAAAACAAACAGACATAATAGGTAAAAATGTAAAGTAAGAGTACCGCAGACAACACCGTGTCACAATCTTAATCACAACAAAAACGAACAAATATTTAACAAAGAATTACAAAAAAGCATATTTTACATTTAACAACCTCGTTCATTGCTTACTTTTTTTGGTATTTTATTCATGTATGCCAAATCAACCCATAAAGGATCGAGGGATTTCTAGCTCTGGGACCGAATCGTAATTCTAACATTAACTCTGACATAGAATCGCGTGTTTGACGTCAGAATGTAAACGTCACACAGGTAGAGATATAAAATAATTTTGTCGTTCAAAGTATACAAAAATTATAATAGAGCAATAACACAATGGCGGGATGTTTAAAGTACAGAGACACGTCATATGTATCAAAGAAACATAAAAGGTCAGACGGACAAAGCACACGAGTAAAAATGAAAAATAATACAAACAACACATTGACGGGATGCATAAGTACAGAGCCACGTCAAATGTATATCACCAAAATCAGACCAAACAGTAAAAGTAATATTAATAATAAGATGATAAACAGAGTCAGTACGCAGAATCTATACTTCAAGACCATCATGTATTATTTGTGAAGTGGATACGGAATATTTATCAACAAGGTCTTGGTACCTTCCGATGAACTTTTTAAAAAAAGCACGAGACGTTCTTTGACATACCCCTGGTTCATCAACTTTCTGCTCAGACACTGATGACGTTTTACAAAGTCTGAGTAGGAGCTGCAAGCTCTTGCATACCGAATAAGTTGGGAAACGTATATCCCATAATCAGGTGAAGTTGGTATATTGCTACTAAGGTGGGGAAAATTGATATAATTTTAAAATTAAAATCGTCTCGTTTGTCATAGATTCTGGTACTGAGATGACTGTGTATGTCAAATTCCAGGGATAAGTCTAAAAATGAAGCTGGGAGGAAGCCGTGTCTGTTGTTTTTTAATTTTTAGTTCTGGGGGATATATTAATGGAACCTAATCAGAAAAGTTCGGATCGTTAATGGAAAGAACATCATCAATATATCTGAAAGTGAAATTAAATAATCTGGCTTTTTTGATCTTCTTGTTTTTGACAAGTGTCTGAAGGAACTCCGATCCATATGAAAATAAGAAGAGGTCGGCAAGGAGAGGCGCACAGTTCGTTCCCATAGGAATGCCAACAATTTGTTGTAAAAGTCTACCACCAAAGTCAACAAAAATGTTGTCGATAAGAAACTCCAGCATACTGATCATTTGTTCCTCTGTGTAGCATGTTTACCCTTTTGTTCGCTATTAACAAAATATGCCTTAGGGTATCCCAAAGTAATAAATTTATAGCGTATGATACCATTTTTATGTTGAAAAGAGTTTGAACGTATATATTCGCATTCGGACGTTTTAAATGCCCGTTCAATTAGGTGTGTGATTTTTTTCTTTATACGATTATGAGACAAAGTGGTATATAGTTTAAAAAAATCAAAACTTTGAACAGATTCGAAATCACCAGTATAAGCATGCAATTTATGAAGTACTTCGAACGAATTTTTGACACTCCAAAAGTAATTAACTCTACTATTTTCAAAGGCCTTATCTGAACAATTTATTAACAGGTTTTTGATTGTACCAAGTGTACTAGTAAGTTGAATAGACAGTTTAGTAGTGGAACAATGGCTTGAAGACGAAATAAATCTATGTACACTCTTTTAATTTTACAAACGATCTCCTCCAAAAAATATACTTTAATAGTTTGAAGCTAACTGGGCATTGTTGATACTTTTTATGATTTTTAAAATAGAATATTGAATTTGAAATTTTGAATGAATCAACACTCAGAGTCGCCAAGTCTAAAATAAAACAAAAAGCAAAATTCGTCTACCATCTTTAAAACATTATATTGAGAGACAATCTGATTGTATATGGTGGTTAAATTTGCTTATGACTGAAAGATATAACAACTATCTATATTCATGAGCAGTACCAGGCGAGTTTTTTCACTATCAACTAAGTAACATATTGATTAATATACGAAAAACTAGGTCGGTCTTTCGTTTTTGCTAATGGGCTTTGTCTATATGCCTTTTTGTTTTTCTTTGTTGACATATTTGTACATCATATGAAGTGATTAAGATTATAACACAATGTTGACTAATGTACCCCTATTTTTGACATTTTTACCTATTATGTCTGTTTGTTTTGTGAACACATCGTTGTCAATATAATGGAATTTTATGCGAATGTAATACAAGAGTGAGGTTTAGCTAGCTATAAGACCAGGGTTAATCCGCCATTTTCTACATAAAAAATGCCTGTACCAAGTCAGGAATATGACAATTGTTATCCATTCGTTTGATGTGTTTGAGCTGTTGATTTGGAATTTGATTAGGGACTTTCGTTTCGAATTTTCCTCAAAGTTCGGTATTTTTGTTATTATACTTTTTTCTATACACAAAGCAATGTCATAAAAAGAAAAAGTCACGAAGAAGACACTGTCTTGTTCGATGCATCGTTTTATCTATTCAGATTTTTAAAGGGGACTAGTTACTTTTACTTATATTGAATATTGATTTTTTTTTCAAATAATTACTTTCTTAGCATATGAAACATGTAATAAAGTTTTCATAAATTCATTTATTACACTTTGTGAACTTGTTCTTCAAAAAAAAGTTAAATTACAAAAATACTGAACTCCGAGGAAAATCCAAAACGGAAAGTCCCTATTTAAATGGCAAAATCAAAAGCAAAAACACATCAAACGAATGGACAACAACTGTCATATTCCTGACTTGGTACAGGCATTTTCTTATGTAGAAAATCACCCTTTGACCTGAATATCTGTAGTTATATATAAAACAAAATATGTGGTATGATTGCCAACGAGACAACTCTTTACAAGAGACCAAATGACACACAAATTAACAACCATAGGTCACCGTACGGCCTTTAACAATAAGCAAAGCCCATACCGCATAGTCAGCTATAAAAAGCCCCGAAATGGCAAATGTAAAACAATTCCGACGAGAAAACTAACGGTCTAATTTATGTACAAAATAATGAACGAAAAACAAATATGTAACACAACAGCAAACGACATCCAAATTAAAGGCTCCTGACTTGGAACAGGCACATACAGAAGGTGGCGAGGTTAAACATGTTTGGCTGGCGCCCAACCCTCACTCTAACCTTATACAGTGGTCAACAGCACAACACAAGAACAAACTACACAAAACAATAAACGAATAATCTATATGAAATACAGAAACAAAAAACAACCACTAAATTAAAGACTACTGACTTGGGACAGGCACATTTAGAATGGGGCGGGGTTAAACATGTTATCGGCCGCCCAACCCTCCCCTAACCTGGGACACTGGTGTACCAGTACAACATAAGAACAAACTATAAAAATCAATTATAAAAGGCTTTACTCATCAGATGGATACAAAAAGAAATACATCTAACAAAAATACAGAGTGGACGTGGCCGGGTACTTGTACATCCCAACGACAAAAAGACACTAGGTACAGATCTGCTAGTTCAAAGCCAATAACAACTAATAAAACAAATCATGCATCTAAGACTAAATTATCAATCAGTACACATCCAACATCCAACGAATTTAGTGTAAAGACGTCATAAACAATCAGAGAAAAACATGACCTTGTGCACTGCCAAGATACAGGTATCGACAGATTGCAGAGCCATGAATAGCATATGTATATAACAATAATATTTAGTTTGCTTATAATTTACTGATAACAAACTCAACATTAATATCAATAAACAATATTCAAAGATCCAATTACAGTGTTGAATTGGTAACCTTTATGATAAGTTTATTTAAAAGGTTTACCAGGATCGTTTCTAAATTTCCGGGCATGGTAAACAACATCTCCGTAAAAATGACGCTGTGCATGGTATAACAAAAGAAAAGGGCTGACATTGGGGTTTAAAAAGGGAAGATTCGCGTATATGTTAATGAAAAAGGATATACGTACACATGGTACAAATGCAAACTTTACGGGAAAAATCACTGAATATCACGACATGTCCATACGGAAAAATCACTGAATATCAGGACATGTCCAAACTGGCTTTTACTAGTGATTATTGATAACACTTCTGTGTAAAAGAAAGTATTGATTGTATTTTCAATTTAAAATATTAAATGTTTCCAATTCTTACTTTTTCCGGCGATGACACTCCGGCGATGACACTTCTGCCTAGTAGTACATTAAGATCAGCTAAATTCTCTCTTCGTGCTTACGAAATCCTTCTTAATATAAATATTACTGCAATTTTTTGCACACATTACCTGACATGATATTCAAATGGAAAATAACAACAAATCGACATGCTTCAATGATAGTTCAATCAATTCACAATCTATCTGAGCAGACGAATTTCATCTATAAATAGTCTATTAGTTGAATGCATGCATTAACATTTATGGTCTTGAATCATTATCCATTGAAAATTATATCATTGTACCAAGTCAGGAATATGACAGTTGTCATCCATTCGTTTGATGTGTTTGAGCTTTAGATTTTGCCATTTGCTTGGGGACTTTCGTTTAGAATTTTCCTCGGAGTTCGCTATTTTTGTTATTTTACTTTTTTCTATACACATAGCAATGTAATAAACAGAAGAAGTCGTGAAAAAGACGCTGTCTTGCTCAATGCGTCGTTTTATTTATTCAGATTTTTAAAGGGACTAGTTAAATGAAACATTTTAGCCTTGTTTCAATAACGTTAAAGGTACCAATAGTTCCGCGCCAGATACTTATTTCGACACAAACGTCACTTCAGTGATGTTCAAGACCACAATATTTGACAATCAAACCCTAATTAAAAAATTGAAGAGATATATAAAAGTATAGTCAAAGTCGTGCAAGGAATCGCAGCTTTGCATGAGGGAGATATAGTCCTTCGCTTACATAACTTCCAATTTTTGTAAGAGGAATTTTTGTAACATTCTATCCGTATTTTCATGCCATTACCGAAGTATTGGCTACTAAACTGTTGATAACCTCGGGTACTAACAGTCCTACAGCAATCCAAATAAATATTTGCCGATTGCTGTCAATTAAAAAAGTGAATGAAGAAAGGGATTACGAGAAGCAGTGATTATATAACAAAAACTATAATCATTATTGATAAATCTATTCAAGTGAGAGGTTAAGCTAGATTTTACACCAGGTTTAATCCACGATTTTCTACATGAGGCCTGAACCAAGTCAGGAACAAGACAGTTGTTTGCCATTCTTTTGATGTGTATGCGTTTTTGATTTTGCCATTTGATAACGGACTTTCCGTTTTGAATTTCCTTGGAGTTCGGTATTTTTGTTATTTTACTTTTTAAATCAAAACAATAAAAGTCTGAGGGATATTTCCTATATAAACTTCCACAAGAAAATCATGTATCTGTGATAGATTTGATAAAAGGTTTTGACCATTTTATGTTATCTATAATCTGTGTTATAAAGCAATGCAATGAAGAATATTTGAGCATCTCTGATATCAAGACATACTTAGTAAAACAGATAACTCGTACTCTGGATTTATTTAGAGCACGTTTAGTTGGACAAGTTGAATTAACTTGGCTTGTACGTTGTTTATTATTAAAAGGAGAATGGTACGACTACAACAAATTAGTTAACATCAAGATTTATCGAAAGACTAACTTATCAAATAGAAATGTAGCTATATGTGAGTGGTACTGAAGTGAAAAGAGAAAGAAAGCTGTAAACGGAGACAAGATGATTATCGAAAGTACATCGTGTATTCAATACTTCCAAAAGAATTTTCAACAGAAATAAATCATACTACTCCTCCAACAGAATTATGAAGAAGATAGACTGAACGGTTTTACATTTTACACGAAGGCGTTCAATGTCAACGCAGTTTATGAATAGTCTCTCCCACGCTGGCTTCACGTGAATACTGGTAGATTGAAGTCTACGCATGTTCATTCTTTATATCTTTTGAGGGATTTGGAAACATATCATTTAATGGTCATATATCGAATGTATCATATAGACTGATGCAACTTCACACACACACACACACACACATATATATATATATCTATACGGTTGAAGACCGTACTTTGACCTATAATGGTTTAGTTTTACAAATTGTGACTTGGATGGAGAGTTGTCTCATTGACACTTATACCACATCCTCTTATATCTATATATATATATATCAGTTTTATAGTTTCCTGAGTGCTCTAATCATTGTGTGGCAGAAGAAGACATGTGTGATGACTTTTTTCTCAATGTAGAAATAAGTTGATATTATATGAATGATTGCCAAAAACGCATCTTTCCACAATACCAGTTATTTACAAAAAATCCATACCGTTAAGTAAGCTATAAAAGTTCCATTTTTTACAAATTTAAAACGTTACAAATGTAAAACAGTTTCAAAATAATTGTGACAGGCAATAACCAATGGGAAGTACTGCCTAAGAGGGTTCTAGTGTAAATATTTTTTACATACATATATTATTTCTATATAGGTTTTGTTGGTAGTTCGTCTCATACTGACATTGGCTCCTAAGTGAACATGTTATGTGTACCAACAGAGCCCCAGTATGGCATTAACAACAAGAAAGTTGATAATCATCCCTGGCTTGGTGGAACCATATACAGTATACATCGCATGAATATTCCTAATACCGCTCTTGATCATTCAAAATAAACGATATATGGTATCCCATGTACAGTATGTAGGGCTAGAGTTAAAACGTCCGTTATCATGATTTCGGGACGAAAAAAATGTATAGGTGACTGGAAAAGAGAATACAATGGGTATCTTTTTGGTGGAAATCCTACATTCAAATCGGGATCCGAATATGTCTGCATTGATGAAGTTCCCGAGCTACTAAAGAAAGCTACGAGCTGGTCGGAAAAAACAAATCTAAATCCTGTGCATTCCAAATGTAATGAAGCAATGCCTTGTCCACCCTTCATAGACGGAAGAATACTAACATGTGTGATCTGTTCAAAATGATTAAAGATAAAATAACTCATCATAAATACTAGGATTAACATTTTGTACGCCAGACGCGCGTTCTTGTTCTGTAAATGAATCTTGTTAATAATCCTATCCTTTAAATATTCTGTACTAAACAAATTGTAAAAGAAAACCAATGCTGTAAAATTTGCTACTGTTAAAACTTGTTACTTTTTACTTAAAAAAGTAACACTCTTTCCGCCAGTCTATTCATTCACATTGCTATGCAGTCCATCCGATTTATTTTTCCTATTCACACAGTATGTCTTTCCGGTTGATGCAACTTATATCTTGATGTGCCTCCTAGTTTTCATGATAAATATAAGTAGTGTTTCTGCATTTTGCTTTGAGATTGTGGGTAATTTATAACAGTATTCGTTGGATTTTTTTGCCTGAGTTACTCTATGTCGATATTTTCCTGCATATGTGTTCTTCAATGGAAATGAAATGAAAATATATTCAGCTCAATCCGTTACTAGGGGTTGTCTTGAATTTCATTTGAGGTGTGGGCATTTACTGCATCCTGCAGGCCTAGTCGTATCTCTAAAACAAAGAACTGCAATGTAAGTCCTGTCCTTTACACGTGAGTTTTAAACGGTGTGTAAAATGAATTTGTTTCATTACTTAACTCGCAAATTCGTTTAAGGTGATCATTTCTTGTGATTAGCAATATAATTGATATAGTGCATTTTTTGAAATGTAGACTCTAGTATTTATCATCTGACATACTCTTTGAAAATGTAAGAATTTGTTTCAAAGTTAAACATGAAGGTAGCTTTCCCATAGGCAATCACATCACATCTTCTGATTTATGTATATAATGTCAACGACAGGCTGTTAACCTCTCTTATACATATTCTGAATAATTATATATTCTACATATACATGTATAACGCCAACTGATCATTTATTTCTTATGTTTATTCTTGCTTTATACAAGAAGATACTACTGCTGTCGTTAGGACTGTTTGTAGTTACAAGTGATCTGTGTAGGTCAGGTAAACGCAATAAAGGGTAACAATCGTCCGTTGACCAGTTCTTTGATATTGACATGATTAGAATGATATAAGATGTAACTGTTTCATGATTTATGTTGTTGCTGTTTTTGTTAATCTTTACATTGTTTTCTTTTGAACTTTAATTTAAAATGGTTCTATATAACACTTACGATTGTCATTTTTTTTTCAAAATTTAACGGTTGCTTTCCTACGCAGTTTCGCTAATTCAAAGTACTGCATGTGTATATCTTTAAGATATGGGGGTATCCATGCTTAACGACTTGTCTTGTTGGCCAATTGAATTATCTTATTCTGTCATTTGGTTTGCAGAATGGAATTTTAACCAATTAATTTTTTAGTCTGTTGAAAGGGCAAATACATTTAGTTTCTTAATCTCATTATTTGATATCGTCTTTTGAGCTTTACAATGCAAATATTTGTATCAATAGTTTTTGTTGGATGACGACCAGCTTAAAATTCTCAATCTACCTTTCTGCATCTAAGGGAAGCCGACATTTTTTTATAGAGTTATTAAGAAAACAAATCAAGGTAACAAACAAAAACTGATGGGCATCGCATGAACCCCTTTAACATATCCTCTGCTCTACATACTAATAAACCAATTAAAACGTTATGCACGTGCATGCTCCATCTATGCGAACTTCATTAATAGGGGGTGTGCCTTTTTACACAAAAAAACTGCTCCGACAGAGTTATAAGGAAGAACGACTGAAACCGACAATACATAATTTACGGTAAAAATCACGAATTGGTTTACCGATACGGTGGGTCGGTGTCTAAACTCACGATTGACATGTTTTCTGCGTTAATACAACGAAATGAAAATAACATTTTTTACATTTAGTATGCCCGACCTGATTTTCTTATATTGATGGGATTGGGTCACATGTTTGGTCAAAATAGGTTGTCAAATCGTGTTTGTTTTAAAATAACCCACAATTTTATTTCAGAAACAATATATTTTATTTCTTCTTTTACTTTGAATAAAAAAAAAAAAACACCAAGATACAGAAAGTTTGTGTTAAACTTTTCCATAGATATTTATTACAGATACAGGAACTTTAAGAAAAAAACATTTTGATTTGGTTATTTAGGCTTTCCATAGTTTTTAAATTGCATTGTCTTCCTTTGATTTAGACTTGACGTAAACGAATGTTTTCTTCATAGCAGACGAAATATTTACGGAAGGGACGCACATAGAAGTAAAGGGCGGGAGTAACCGGACGGACGGAATTACCGGACACGACTGTATGCCAATGATTTT